CCGGGGAGCGGAGACCAAGGAGGGGAGATACACACCGTGAAGCAAGGAGGGGAGTGAGAGAGGGGCACTAAGGGGTGAGTGGTAAGGATCACTATGGGGTGGGGTGGTAAGGATAATTATTGGACGGGGGTGGTGGAACACTGTGGGACGGGGGTGGTGGAACACTGTGGGACGGGGTGGCGGAAAGGGAACACTGTGGGACGGGGGGTGGCGGAAAGGAACGCTGTGGGACGGGGGGTGTCGGAAAGGAACACTGTGGGACGGGGGGTGGCGGAAAGGAACACTGTGGGACGGGGGTGGCGGAAAGGAACACTGGTATGGGAGGGAAAACTAAGGGGGCACTAAGAGACAGATGAGGGGGGCACCAAAAGACAGGTATGGGGGGGAGGGGAGAGAGAGAAATAACACACACACACTCACTCACTCACTCTCTCTCTCACTGCATCCACTACACACACACACAAATATTCTTGAAAACATAAAAAAAATCTGACTGGCATATTTTCTGCATTTACCACTAGAGATGTTGCGAACCATTTGCGAACTTCCCGCTAACGGCTCGCCGCGGTTCGCCAGCTTCAACATGGATGCTGTCCAGGAGGTGGGAGGGTCTGAGAGGGAGGGTCTGCTGGAGATTGGCCGGGATGTCAGCTGACCGGAGCTTGCCGCGAACGGTTCGCGACATCTCTATTTACCACTTAACAAAAAAAAAATATTGCAAAAAATAACCAAATACTGTAAATGTACAGAATATCGGTAAGCTATTGGCCTGAAAGTTCACAGATTATCGGTATCTGCTCTAAAAAAAAAAAAAAACAATATCGGTCGATCCTTAGCCAATCTGCTTCATAACATTTGGATAAAGAATAATAAAAAAAACTTTGGGATGTTGCTCAATCTTACAGCATCAAAACTAATACAATGATCATTTGTGGTCAAAGTGTTTTGAGTGCTCTAACTTATACATATCTAGAAGACTAAATATATAAAATAACAGACAAATGGTTTATATAGAAGGGGACACTCCGAAATGTATCAAAATTAAGTTATGGTGCCAGGAGTTTCACAGAGCTGACTTTCCTTTAAGGGGTAAAACCTTTCACGAATGGTATATCCCAAAGTCTCCTCTGCAGCGCTGAATCTCTCTGCTCTCTCTAATATCTGCATGCTGAAAATCTTAAAAAAGGAAGTCCAGGGCTGCCATGAGCTGGGCCGCCGCTGTTTGGCTTAGGCTCAGGCCACCCTATTTCCGATCTATTTCAGTTGTGTCCGAACTATGTTGCATGTGTCCAATAAACTTCGAATTCCATATGAGTTCAGCTAGTCAGAATTTGCAGGATGCTAAATCAAGTTGCAATTTGCTAATTTTCAATGCCTTAACTAGTTGATCGCTTTCAGCTTTTTTTTTATTTTTATTTTTTTATTATAATATTAAATTGACCTCATGTTAAAAAAAAAAAAATGATTTTTTAAAAAATCTTTATTGAATTAACAAAATTTTGCAGTGACTAGTGATCAAGAAATTTAAACTTGAACTCTGAATGAAAGTAGAAAATGCTGCTTTCTTTTATTTTTCGGGTCATGTTGCCTTTGTATTTTACAATTTGTAACACCAATGCCACTAATCTGCACTAATATGTTCCTTTTCTTTGAAGTTATGTTATTTTAAGCCCAGTAGTCGGCAAGAATCATGCTTTCTTTGTTTTCACTGCCCTCATGGCTCTGACAGTTGGGCTAATGGAATGATGGTATGATGGTAAAAAGAGGCACATCAATTGTGTTCTACTTCAGTGGTGCCAAGTTCTAGAGTAACTTTGCTATTGAACAAAACTACCCCTTCTCTCTACAACTGTCTGCATATGTAGGTGCTTTGTGATTGAGGACAATGTTTCTCTGCTTGATAGCAAAGAAAAACACCCTAATTCAGGTGATTAAAAGAAACTGAAAATGTTCCATTTACTCATTGTAATGTAATGAGACACTTTATTTGTTTTTTCCTTGTGCATATCTGGAATGCTGGAATGGCAACTGTTGTTAACCCCTTAAGGACACATGACATGTGTGACATGTCATGATTCCCTTTTATTCCAGAAGTTTGGTCCTTAAGGGGTTAAAGGAATACTTCAAACGCCATAACCACTACAGCATAACGTATTGGTTATGGTGCAAGGATTGCCTTGGTGCCCTCCAAGAGTAAGTAGGCAAACTATTTAAGAATGGTTTGACAACATACCTTGTTCCCAATGAGCATTCATTACTGCCTCCCTCCCCTTGTAGTAAGCTACCATCTTAGTAAAGTAGTTTTGGCGCATAAACCAGGAATGTTGTCAAAACCATGTGGGTCGTAGAGGTGCACTTTAGGCACTATAGCCACTTAATTTCATTGAAATCATTATAGTGCCTGAAGTCCCCTGATACAGTCCTTCTGTTTTAATGGTAAATGAGTCCCCAGCAGACTGCCCCCCTTCTGCACCTCACACAAATGAGGAAGCATTAGTCTTGGCAGCGATAGACACAGTGGTGGTATAAATTAGAATGGGTAAGGAGGGGAATGTACTTGGTCTTAGCCATACCTCCAGTAATGGGTGGAAAATGTGTTTAATACTGAATGGAGAAGTGGCAGTAATGTACATCAGGTACTATAACCAATTCAATGAGATGAAATGGTTATAATGCTTAGTGTCCCTCTACACACATGTCAATGACTCCTCCCTCAAAGCTGCATCCTATGCCATCCTTTAACTCCTGGAATCCTGAAAATATCGCTCACCTCCAATCCTTTTATTTTATTCTTTGTGTATCACTCTCTCTCTCTCGTTGCTTTTTACCAAATTATGCCTCTAATGGCTTAGTATATACTTGTGCTTCTAGAGGTGCTTTTTAGTAGGTACTTGATTCTTTGTGCGTTATGATGATCTTATAAAAGGTGGATTGACTGCCTACCATTAGATAACCATTTTAAAGATAAACATAAAAACAACTTCATCTCAATTTAATTAAACTGCCTCCTCTCTCATCCCTGTGGTTTCCCCACTGATAGAGAAGGGGATTGGGATAGGAAGAGTCAAAATCTCTTTGCAACTGTAGCAAATAATGACTTCTTTCACAGGTCCCATCGATTACAGAAATCATGATTGTTGTATGACCTCACAGCAGTGTATATTGTTCCTTAGGAATCATACTATATCTGAAAGGGAAAAAAAAGGGTATCGAGAGGTGAGGATGGACAACAGCTCAAATAGCCTGCCCTTTGGTGGGTCCCCGCTTAGATCGCAAGCTGGTTTTAGCTCTTGTGCCATTACAGAGAGAACATCTCTGAAGCATATTAGACTGGTCCCACCCATACGGGCAGTCCAGATCCAAAATGCCAGCAAATTCCCTCTGCACGAGAGATACAGCAACCCCAGAAGATCATTTCAACCTTGTAAGGTATCATCAGTGAGGTATAGCCAATATCTCTATAGGCACCGTGAGCAATGGGTCCACGTCTGGATTGCCCTTTACACTTAAGTAGAGAAAAAAAAAGGGGGGGAAATATCTGAGAGGAGGATAATATAACTGTGACTATCAAAACAAAAATTCTTCATAAAATAACAAATTTAAACCAAAATGGTTGTCTTGTCTCACGCCAAATAGCACTGGAAACACCATTACTCTACTTGCTGTTTTGCCCATCTAACATTTTTTTTTTTTTTTTTATCTGTTTCTCCTTCATTATAGATTCAATAAGTGATGCTGAAAAGTGAAGCTATAAGGTGTGTAAGATTGATGTATATATTTTTAAGATTTTATGAAAATGTTTTAGTAAAACTGCAGCTAAATTACTTGTGACATAAAAACCTTTAATGGAAGCAAGCACCCTCTCAGGCTTGCTCAAGTGCTTCATGTATCTGGTGCTTGTAATTTCAACTGTTTCTGAAGGTGCTGATTTCAGTTGAAATCGGCACTTTTATAAGCGGGCACAGATTTGACCGCTCCACAGAGCTAAAGTGGCAGGTGTGCTTGCCTTCCACCCTTCTCAATGAGCTCTATTACTGTTCATTGAGAAGCATTGTAAAGCCACCATGTGCTCATGGCACAGGGGGGCTTACTGAAAGTTTGTGTCTGGGGGAAAAGAGGGGAGGACTTGCAAATGAAGTAGACAGCAGGTGAACTGATCATTGCTACATGGAGCAGACTTTTTGGCAGTCTCATCTACTTTTGTGCAGAAAAAAATATATGGCTGTGATATTACAAATTCGAATTTAATAATTAGAGGGATGCTAGTGTTAAAAATACAAATCTATATTTCTAACACAAACGTGCCCTCTGGTCCATTCCCCCACTCACCCCCTGCAGCTAAAGGGTTAAAAGAAAAATCACTTGCACAATGCCAGCTTGGTCATCACTCAACGGACGGGTAATGCTCAGGCGTGGCAAGAGCATTAGGCATTTTGATTTAATGCTTTCCTATGAGGATTTCACTAATGCTGGATGTCCTCATGCATAGTGTGAGGATGTCCAGCGTCATTTATGGGGACACAGGGTCCGCATCCAGGAAGTGCTTCTAGTGGTTGTCTGATTGCAGTACTAAGACCGCCTTCAGTGGTTGTCAAAGTAATCATTGCTGTTTGTCAAAAACTAGGACTAAGTGGTACAGGGACATTGCACCCATACATACTTTTAGTGGTTAATTTGTGGATGCCGTGTATTGAGGCTGAAGGTTTCACTTGGGAAGTCTTGTCCACGTTTTTAAGGAAAAGTGCACACACACAACATTTCAGCTTGTAGAAGGGCCTTATATGTTTGGATTCTGTCACGTTTGTATATATATATATAATTTGATAGCCTGGTAGCCACATAGGACTTCAAAATGTAAGACTTCTATGTGTGTGTGTGCGTGTGCGCGTGCGCGCAAGCTTTCTAATACGGGACTCACCTTGTTTTTTGTTTTTCTTTTCAGGATATCCGCTTGAATTTATTGGAAGTTTTAATTTTTTATATATATTTTTTATATCATAATGACAACCAAGTCTTCACTACTTAAAGTCATCCTCCTTGGAGATGGGGGGGTGGGGAAAAGCTCCCTTATGAACAGATATGTCACAAACAAGTTTGACACTCAGTTATTTCATACAATAGGAGTGGAGTTCCTGAATAAGGAGCTGGAAGTTGACAACCATTCAGTCACCATGCAGATCTGGGACACTGCTGGTCAGGAGCGTTTCAGAAGCCTAAGGACCCCTTTTTACAGGGGCTCTGACTGTTGTCTACTCACCTTCAGTGTGGATGATTCTCAGAGCTTCCAAAATCTGAACAACTGGAAAAAAGAATTTATCTACTATGCAGACGTCAAGGATCCAGAAAGTTTTCCGTTTGTGGTCTTGGGAAACAAAATAGACATGACAGAAAGGCAGGTGTCATTGGATGAAGCCCAGGCTTGGTGCAGAGACAATGGAAACCATCCTTACTTTGAAACCAGTGCTAAAGATGCCACTAATGTTGCAGCAGCATTCGAAGAAGCGGTTCGAAGGGTTCTTGCTATTGAAGATCGATCGGATCAGCTTATCCATACAGATATGGTTAATCTTAATAGAAAGCCCAAGCCTAGTTCAAATTGTTGCTGAATCCTTGGATTTTTGAAAGGCCCATAGTTCCTCCTATAATTTAGCAGCATCCAGCAGCGTATCTTCTGACTTACATCAATGTACTCCCAATAACTTTATGCCTTAACAGCAGGGACACACGGTATGTCCTTCCTATTCAGATGAGCAAGCATTAACGAATTAACGACTAGCTAATTTCTGTTTTGAATGCTAATTATTATTTTCCTAAAATTGGAATAACCACAAAATATGATTTGTTTTTAATTTGTTTCCTGAAAAAATTACCCCACCTGTTTTTTGTTTTTTGTTTTTTTTCTTTCAGCTAGTGAACATTATACCAAGTGTAGCAGAATCATTCTTCTTAGAACCAAAATAGCATTGGTTATCATAAAGTCTAATATTTCTATATATTTAATGTCTCAGATCTCATACAAGAAAAATGAATATCACCAGGTCAGGCTTTTATGTGGTTATGTGGCATATTGCTAATCGTGTCACAAAATGTAAAACCCCACGGGAAATAAGCAAGCCATGTAAACGTAAACTGGTGGTTAAATATTTATTTCCCTTTTAATTCAGTTACCCATTGAAAACACAATGTGCTAGTGAGTGCATCTACTTTGATATAGTAGATGCGTTTCATCTCATTCCACACAGGAACATGGTCATTTTCAGATTAAAAATACCCGTAAAGTGTAAATTTCATTAAAGGGACAATCTAAGTACTACAACTTACTGTAGTGATTATGGAATCCTGGTGCTCAGGAATATGATGCTCAGTCCCACTGTTAAAAGAACACTCTAAGCCAGTGATTGCTAACCTTGACACCATAAATTGTTTCTGGACTACATTTCCCATGATGCTCAGCTAGCTTTTAGACTTTAAAAGTTAGCTGAGCATCATGGGAAATGTAGTCCAGAAACCATTTATGGTGTCAAGGTTAGCCATCTCTGCTCTAAGCAATATAACCACTACATCACATTAGTGGTTGTGATGCTGGGAGTTCTATCTCGCCCTCAATTAAGTAGACAAACTGTTTGCTAACGGTTTGACTTTTTATGTGGGGTTCATCAGACACAGATCACTCTCATGTTCATGCATGGACCTTCCATTAGCTCTTCTGAGCTAAGCCCTGTGCAGAGTCAGCTGATAGCTCTCAGCCAATAAACAAAACATTGCACCTCTTGACTTGGCTCAATGCAGAGAGCTTCCGGCTCTAATAAAAGCGGTAGCTGACGGATCACCAGGTATGTTACCACACTTTAAAAAAAACTGTTTGGCTACGTACATTGGGGGGAGGGGGGGCAATTTGCTTGAGCTGTTCTTTTAAGACTCAAATCGTTTTTGAAAAATAACATCATGGAGGTTTCATTTCTGCTTTAGCAATAGCAATTGTGTCCAAACTAATTGTGTATAGAACAGAATTTAAACAAACAAACAAAAAATATATTTTTTAAGTTATAAATGACGTGTAAAAATAGTTGGCCTCTTAGCCTTAACTATTGAAAGATATGTAAATGTATGAAAATAAATGAATCAAAGAAAACATTCATCACTCACAGGTCTTACAGAAAATATAAACTGATTATTCCTAATGTAGCACTGGTCCAACTGGACATCCATCTTTGTCTGCATTGAAAGTGCCATTCAAATATTGGTTATATAGATAGATATATATATAGAGAGAGAGAGAAATAAATGAATGACGTGTATATAGATATATATTTTTATTCTTTCCATTAATTTACTAGCTTTTCCACTAATTAAAAGGAGTGATGCGTTTGTTCAAAAGCAGCTGTGCTTATTTAATTTAATTGTGCAAAATAAGTTACGAATGTAAAGAAAATGTATTTAAAATGAAAAACTTGAACATTCGTAAAGCACTACTTTTGGGAGATTTGTGGGGGGTTTTTGTTTTTGTTTTTTTATTACTGAAGCAACTATGAAGAATAAGGTGTGTAATATTTTTTATGAAATCTGCCTTTGTTTCTTTGTTTACATAATGTATTCTATAGAAGTAAAATAATACAACATTCTACTTTTTGTATCACAGGTACTTTTATTTGCAAACTTTCTTTTCTAGTTTGTCACAAGAACAGTTTATTGTAGCTGTAGTTTACCAATGCCGGATTTAAATATCCAGTTAAAGTGCTTGGCATGGGGGCGATAAAAGACTTGTTGGCACATTATTCTGAGGTAGAGGAAGCCATTGATCCCTGAGTCAGAAAAAGGTAGTCAGGGCTCTCTAGAATAATGTCTATTCACGCTGACAATGAACACCATGCCACTTTATTTGTTTTTCTCTCAATATCAAAGTTTGTGTGAAGAGTGTGTCTCTTTTTGCAAAAAAAAAAAAAGTGACACCTTTCTAAATTCACTTTGTTACATCCCCGGTCCTGTTACATTCTGGTTTGTTTAGCTCAATGGAGCTAAACTCAAGAAGCAGCAATTGCCAAGAGCACCTGTCTTCTCATTGAGCTGCATTGGGAAGTCTTTGATTGGACATCCACAGAAAGTCTGGGCTGGGGACGAAGGGGAGGGCTTGCAAAGGCAGGATACAAGAAATACAGGTTTGCAAGGTTTCTAAAAATACCCCCAAAGAAGAAAAGCATAATTAATGCATTCATGTTCCATTGGGGTATATGCACTAAACACTTTTTTTTATTTTTTTATTCTGGTAGTAGTCTTTTTAAGTCAACGTAGCTGAAAAATAGGATTTTTGACTGCTAATAGAAGAAAACAGTCAGCGCATAACTGTTTAGACTAATGAAAGTGATACATTATACATGAAATCTTACACATACTGATTTGTATAATTTTTTTGTTTTTAATATAGGTTTAGGATGAGAAATATGCATTTATTTATTTTTATCCCTAAAGATGCATTCTGACTAGTCCCTTGGCACCATTTCATATTGAAGAGACAAATTGTCTTGATCACCTTAACACCTGGATCCCGTGGGCACCCACAGTCCAAAACCCTTCTCAGATGTAACTAAAGAGGAACTTCCCCTTCTGTATTTGTATCAATTTTGCCCTTATTTAGATAGAATTAATTGGCTTGGGAATTTGGGTAACTGTCAATTTGTTTCAAAATCGTTTGACTCAGGTGCCAAGGTTGTTTTAGAATGCCCCTTTTGTAATACATATTACATAAAACGATCCTCCCTTTACATACTGTGCTAGTTTCCATTGTTAAACTGATCTGCAGAGAACATAGAAATCTGTAAAATTGCACCTTATTTTGCAGAGTTTTTCACAGTTGCTCTGATTTTTAACTATGGGTAACTATTGAAAGTTCTCACTGCATAATACTGAAAAAAACACATTTTAGAGAATTAAGCACGTGTTTATTTACACATTATCTGATCTATATCCAATTCGTCTGCCCTGTAAATAAATACCAATCTAGATATGTCTGTATCATAGAAGAATGCCAGGGTATTCCAAATTGATTTGTTAGTTATAACCAAATTATCTCGCTGCTGGTTTAGGTTTTTTTGTATATGCACAACCATCATAAACCTAAACTGTAAGAATATTTAAAGTGGTGATTTGTGTTGGAGGAATTTGACCTAGTACAACCATAGCCCTATACTTCCTTGAGGGCTGCCTTGCAACATTTGATACTCCTATAACTTGCTTGGCAGTTACTGCTGCATCTCCCATTCTGATTTAATTTACTGCCAGAATGTAGAGAACCAGGCTTTCCATGTTAAACTCCAGCAATTGTATTCACCAAGGAGTCTATTCAATGAATGCAGAATGCTGTTCAATCATCACAATTCATCTGTTTTAACCAAATGTCATGGAAGACAAGTATGGTTCTTTTCAACCAAATTTGTACTATGTTGAAATCAGTAGTCTCCATGCTACTTGTCCAATTGCATCTAAATTTGGTTGTTCAGTTGTCCCAATTTCCAATACAGATCAAGGAGACTGCACTTATAACTCAAAGCTCCAAAATGCTATTGCAGACCTTTCTTAAAGGGACTCTCCAGTGCCAGGAAAACAATCAGTTTTCCTGGAACTGCAGGTCCCCTCCCACCTCCGGTTGCTGAAGGGGTGAAAACCCCCTTCAGTCACTTACCAAAGGCAGCGACATGTCCCACGTCGCTGCTTCTTCCTCCGTTGCCGCTCCTCCCCTTCATTACGTCAGCCGGTGCAATAGACCTCTCCATAGGAAAGCATTGAAAATGCTTTTCAATGCTTTCCTATGGGGATTTGCGTGACACTGGAGGTCCTCACACAGCATGAGGATGTCCAGTGATGCTATGGACCAAGAAGTGCCCTCTAGTGGCTGTCTAGTAGACAGCCACTAGAGGAGGGGTTAACCCTGCAAGGTAATTATTGCAGTTTATGAAAACTGCAATAATTACAGTTGCAGGGTTAAGGGTAGTGGGAGTTGGCACCCAGACCGCTCCAATGGGCAGAAGTGGTCTGGGTGCCTCGAGTGTCCCTTTAACCTTAATTCTGTAACGAGATATAAACCCCAACTCTCCATGTTACCTGAGCAGGATCTTTTAATATTTGAATGCAATTCGGTTGAGCTGTGTTCAAATGAATCTCACTGCAGCAACAGGATTTAGCTGAAAATAGCAAGGAGATATTGGGCTTAATTTGGTAGCGTTCAGTTAAAGGGACACTCAAAAGAACAAAAGCATTTCAGCTTGAAGTGCTTTGTTTGAAATATGTCCTTTAACATTTTTATTAAAAAAGTAGGTTAATAGAAATTGCCACTATTATAAATTAACCTGTCAATCACAACTTATCCTTTTACGTCATGGTTGCTTAGCCGAGTTGAGCTAAACTTAAGAGGCAGCAATTGCCCAGAGTACCTGCCTTGCAAAGGCTTCTAATTGAGTTGCATTTGGAAGTCTGTGATTGGGCCGCCATAGAACGTCTTAGCTGGAAAAGAAGGCGAGTGTTTGTGAAGGCTGCAGATTTTGCAAACTGTTTTTAGATATACCCCCAATGCAAAAAAATGTATAGTTAAAGTATTTTTTTTTTTTTTAGTTTGTACGTAGGCAGTGGAAGGTCTCTTTAATAATGAATACATTGAACGTAAGATGCTAGAGTTTTCAGCCAAATTAAAATGACTCAATTTGCATTAGCAAATTTAGAGAGTTAAGTTATGAAATGTAGGTTGAAATAAGAATTGCTAAAATTCTCCACTTCTACCATTTGGGTCTGGATATTGAAGTTTGGTATTCATGCCACCACAATTGTGTCCGTGAATACATCTTGACACATGCATCTAAACTGGCTGCCATGATATTCTGCTATTTTTCTTTTTCCCAAGTATTTGATGATCAATTGCAATTGTGTTTTTATACATGTACTGTATGCCACTACAAATGCACAAATAACCTGTGTATTTTGTATGAAAGCAAAGTCCAGGTTTAACTATCAATTTAGTTTAAATACTTATACTATTCTGGGTGTAATTATTGTAGCAATAACATGTCTTCCATGGACTTTCAAACCATGCATTTTTGTTTAGATTTACAAAAGATTGCCCTTATCATTCTGATTTGTGTATGCAATTAAAAACATTTGACCAACCAGTATTCAGCTTTCTTTCTTTTTGGTAGAAGTGTGTTTTTCGTGTGCAGGTTTGTGATATAAAAGTTGTATTAAAAATATTGGGGACCCCTACCAAGAGCCCTGGACAGTGACAGGGCTTTTTAAAGGGAAAAAGAGGCAAAAATAGCCCATGCTAAAAAGACTAACACTGTTATAGTCACACATGGCTACTTTTGACATTTAAGTTTATTTTGCAACCTACCCATTGCCTTCCCCTAGTCTGTGCTAGCGCTGTGTGCGTGCGCACAGAGAGCACTGGTGCTTGAAGAAAGTGTAGTGTATGCTAGATGTATGTGATGGTTATATACTGACCCATATACACTGCTCAACAACCACAAACAGCACAGATTATCAATAGTGGGTGTGCAGCCTGTTCCATGCTCTCGTGTTGGATACCTGGATATTACATCATGCTAAATCTCAGCGGACCAGAGTCCTGAGCATTGTGAGTAGCAGTTTTGGATGCCATCGCTCCTCAAACGTCCCTGTGGGCCAGTCCGACTCTCCACCGTAACCACACTCCCTGCCTGGCACCAAAACTCCCCACAAAGCAGCCCGTGCCCATAACTGCATGGCTTGGGCAACATACATTCCACATTTTAGCATTCATCTAGACAGTATGGATAAAGGTACCATTGGAAATAATTTTATAAAAGGACTTATTTAGCAACTCGACATTGGCACACAACATTTGTCATTTACCATGTTTCGGTATAAACATTTGTTCTCACAATAACAGCACTGCATACTGCACAATTTAAAATTACCATAAAAAAAAAAGTACAATGAAGATATCATGAGGAACAGACTGCAATGTACATTTAAAACTGACATATAGCCTTCAGTGTGTAACAGTGCCATTATTTTAAAGAGAAATACCAGCCCTGTAACTAAACTTTGGACAACCACCCCAATGGCTGAGCTTGCCAGGTGTTTCAAATACTCTTTAAGGGACACAGGCAACTTAATCTCAAAGTGGTCTGTGTGCAGTGGCCCTGTCCTTTTAACCCTGCAGTGTTTTTATTTTTATTATAAGAAATGGCAATGTTTACAAGCAGGATTAAATCCACCTCTAGTGGCCGTTTTCCTGACAGCCACTACAAGCACTTCAGCGGCAGTGTCTGAATAAACCGCTTAGAAGCCCATTAGAAAGCACTGAATACATTGCTTTCCTGTGGGGGAGTTTGGATGTGGTCCCAATACTACTCTACAAAAAGCATTGGATTGAACCATTGTGGAGAAGGCTATGCCCTACTCAATGACATCATGAGAGGGAGAGAGGTGAGCAACACCAAGGGATTTTAATCACATTTTATGACAGAACTAGGCACAGACTACAGAGTTAGGAACAAATTCTTTTAAGAGACAATTCTAAAAAAAAAAAAAAAAAGTCAACCAAAGAAGCTCTTAAAACACGGTATGTCTTTATTTTTCATCAAACTATTGTATGTAGCATTAGTATGCATAAACTGATTTTGATTTCTGTAAACATACAGAGAAACTACATATGTATAACAAATGCATGCATATGATGGGTAAAGTTGGGGATGGCATACATTAAGCAGAAGACTTTATACAATTTAAATAAGGATGCTTTAAAATTAACTTTTTTTTTTTAAACTATGTAGAGGTTTATGTTAAAGAGCAGTACTTGATCTACACTGTCACTATTCTGATATTTACATCAGCAATTGGTGCTGAAAAAGTGCAATCAAGCTGTTATACATATAGGTTTATTATGTACATCACTATAGCACTGCCTGGTAAGCGATGCAGTGCTGACAAAGGATCTGCAGTACAGAGCATCAAAATAAATGATCTCAGATGGATGCTCCACAGCACGGCTCTTTATTCAGCTGAGCAGATGCTTCTTGCCAAGAAATTGTATCTTCCGATCAAAGGCAGTAGACCTTATTGGAGAGTTGGTTTCATAGAATGGATTCATGGCAAACTGGTGGAAAAAACCCAAAAACTAGTTTATCCTTTACTGTCACATAAATAAGAAATGTACATGATTATTAATTAAAGTCAAAAATCTAAGTAACTTTCAGGTTTAAGACCAAAAGTAGCTTCACTCGAAGCATAGATGACTTGGATAATGTTTCCATAAGGCTACTTTTTAACCTTGCATTTTAAATTCACTTTGAATTCTAACTTTAGTGAATAAGCCTTCAAACTGAATTTTAAATTTTAGGCCAACGAAGTTGAACTGAAAGCCTATTTAGAGAATTTTGCTTTTCAGTTATTTTGACCTTACATTTGAAATTCACTTTGAATTCTCACTATAGTGAATGACCCTGCCAGTGTAATATAACAAATCAGCAATTATTTATTAAAGGTGAACAGTCATATTTACTCATGCCCTATATTTAACAAATGTGTTTTGTGAGGTCTAACCTAAAGTTAAATGTTTAAATCTTCATAGCTTTATTTAGCTCTAACCTTGAACTAAGTCCTTTCATCTTTGCTCCTGGTCAAGCATTATCATAAAGCTTAACACTTTCCGGTCACTGAACATGGGTAGGAGGAAAACAAAATAATGGGCTAAATTTTGAAGTGGGAAAATGCTGAGCCCTGTTTTACTCAATGATGTAATTTAATTGAAGTGACTGATCTCCTTTAAAAGGACACTATAGTCACCTGAACAACTTCAGCTTAATGAGGTTGTTCAGGTGAGAACTATAGCTCCCTGTAGCCTCTCATGTAAACACTATTTTCTGAGAAAATACTGTGGTTACATTGAAAGCTAGGAACACCTCCAGTTGCAGTCACTCATAGTGAACCAGAGGGACTTCTGAGTTAATGGAGGCATAATATGCCTCCATCCACTCAGATCTGCTGTGCACGAGCATCCTGTGATTTAGTGTCTCCTCCCACTGCATGCAGATACTGAACTTTCCTCATAGAGATTCATTGATTCAATTCATCTCTATGAGGAGACGCTGATTGGCCAGGGCTGTGTTTGAATCATGCTGGCTCTGCCCCTGATCTGCCTCCTTGTCAGTCACAGCCAATCCTATGGGGAAGCCCTGTGATTGGATCAGGCTATCACATGTCAGCAGACTGCTTGTTTTTCCTGAGTCTAATAGCATGCAGATTTACAGCTTCTGGCTTGAATACAGTAAGGTTTTTACTATATTTATGGAGGCATGAGGGGCCCAGGTGGGCTAGATGGTCGTGTTAACACTATAGGGTCAGGAATACATGTAGTTGCACTGGTGACTATAGTGTCCTTTTAAGAACAATAGATTTTGCAATGATACACAATTTCTGTGAATAATGCAGAACTTCAATATGTTATAACTGAGTTTTATTGTTCTCCAAATAAACTTTGATCATATTAAACACAAATGTTAAAAAGGAACACTCCAAGCAGCCTAACCACTACAGCCCACAGTAATGGTTATGGTGCAGGAAGTGTCCTAGCGTCATTGCAGTCATTTGTCAAATTGTTTAAGATAGTTTTGACAATTTACCTGGGTTCCCTGATGCCAGGGCACTCCTTTCTCCTGCTATTGAAGCTGTTTGTCTTGCCTAAGTTAGGCCAAGCTCAAATGGAACTATTCGACATTGTGTGGTTCTATAGAGTAAGGTGGAGCTACCTAGATTATCCTAACAGGAGAGTCTAGAACTAGGCATATGTTTGTGGGTGCCTAAGAAAACCCAGGTAAGTTGTTAAACCGTTCTTAAACACTTCAACAACTTACTCTGAGAGAGTACTTCTAGCTCCATAACCACTACAGCAGGTTGCTTGAAGTGTTCCTATAGCATCAGGTGCTAGGAGCAGTATATGAAAATGTGACACCGTGGAGGGAAGGTTATTTATTAATATGGGGTACAGGGGGTCTTGCATGAATAGTGTAAATGCTAAGTGTACCAATTTAATCTTGACCAGAGTAGCACATCAAAGAGGCTGCTGCACGGGCGAGTTCATGGGGGGCAGTTTCCCAAACTTGATCATCCCACAAGATAAGCAAGAATATCAGAATCTGCTTTTTAAATAGCCAAACCCAGAATTGCAATGTTATTTCAGTGTATGATAAATATACAAACATAATTTGCAAGAAAATCAGACATTACAATTTATATATTTTTTTAAAGAAAATTCAAAATAATTGTTCTAAACTGTATTTGCATTTTCAGGTCTAATCGAATTAACTTATTTGGATACCTGAATGACAATTTCCATTGCCAACCAAAGTGAATAACACGCATATTAAATGAGAGGCAATTAGAATTCAGAAATTAACATTATAGATATCAAGTAACATTAAAGCTCTAAATACAGTCTGTTACATAGCCTACATTATTATAGCTTACCTTGATGTATAAATCATATGCCTCATTAAAGAAATTTTTAATACCATCTTCTTGGCGCACATCATGGAGCATGATAAATCTCATATGTAGAAATGTTAAGGAAACTGCACGTTGCAACAATATTTCACTGACATCAATGGAAAGAAAAATGAACACAGAGAAACAGGAAGAGTAGATCTTATAACGTGTAAACAGGATGTGGAGTAACAAACTCTGCATGATACATGGACATCTCCCTGTGGATGTGTATGTACAACCAGGCACTAGGGAGGCTGCTCAGTAATAGAAGGTTCACTAAACAATCACAATATGGTCTACTGTTATTTGTCTAGAAGTATGCTTCTACTGCAGAAGGGAAAAGATAAGAAAATAATAAGCCTTGGAAAATGAATTTGAAGACCGGGAACCATAGACCTACAAAATGCATTAATAAAATAAGGGGTGTATTTACCTTATAGTTTCCTTAAGGCTATTTGTACATTGTAAGGTCATTAACACACTTCAAGGACCCCTTCCACTGCGCAGTGGCGGTCTGCAATGATTTGGTTAAAATGGGCTATTCTAAGCACTAAAAACCACTAGATATCATTGCAGTGATTTTGGCACAAATCTGTGGGTTCTGTCCACCCAGTTTCTTTAGTTTGAAACAAGATTTCTGGTCTGCTTCTGCTTGGCTAATGTTGAAGTGAATTTCCACATTAGCCACTATAGCTCTGGATGGCATTAGTACTGAGAATAGTTTAGTCTACCACTCCCACCCACAGTTGGACTGGTTAATATGAAAGTTTAATTCCATGTTAGCCAAACGGCATTTGAGAAGCAAATCTTTCATTAGTGGAGAGAAAACCAAAAGACTCTTTGCACCATAACCATTTGAACAATCTGTCATGGTGCTTATAGTGCCCTTTAATCAGACATATGCAATTCATTCTCATCGCTTGAGATTAGGGCTCCAATTCCTCGTTCTTTGGATCAGCATTATCCACTTAAATATCAGTTCAGTTTATTAACAGTGTGTAATACTTAGATAGTAACAATGCACAGTTTTTCCAAATAAAAGGTAAGAAGATACCGCATACCAGACATAATGCCATTCAGCATGAACAGTTTGATTACCAGTGGATGATGTCATTTAAAAAAATGGTATTAACCCTATGTAGAATAAAAAAGGATATGACCAGCAGTTACAAACGCAGAGACAAACCATTCATTGAATTTGTCCACAGTCTTGAGGTACATGTTGTTAGAAAGCCACATATTCTCATCTACCAGGTCAAGGGCAGCATGAGCTATAAACTGATTCAAGTGGCGATGGTCATCCTAAAGGACAAAACATAAAAAGCAAACTGTTTACATCACCAGTTTTTCTTATAACAAATGAGAAAATAAGGCACATAAAATAAGAAATAGAGATCTGCTACTATATTAAGATACAATGTAATGGATGTTGACACCATTTGTTTTTCCAATTTTTTTTATTTTATTTTTGAGACAAAAAAAATATTTATTAAGTAGTATAATGAACACATAATGGCAAAGACTTATAGAGTGTGTAGGGAACTGCACTCACTCCCATCAATCTGAGCCAGGGTGCTTTAGCTGTACCAGAACCAAACACCAGATTCCCAATGTAGTAGAATAAAGGGAAATAAGGTCCAGGCACTCCTTGGTTCAAAATAGGCACTTTATTAGAACCACAGCAAGTGGTTCTAATAAAGTGCCTATTTTAAACCAAGGAGTGCCTGGACCTTTTTTCCCTTTATTCTACTATAATGGCAAAGAGTGTCTTAGGGAGAAATAATGCCTTCTTGGAGGACCCTATATGATGATTTCCAAAGGCCTTTAACATTTTTCACAATACCAATTCACTGTAAAACTATATAGAATGGTATATGCACGTTATTTGCCTGTTATTAAACAAGGACAGATCGTGTTTTCAAACAATATAACTTATGGAGACCAGGTTATCTCCAAGGATTATCGCACGCATCTGCTATGTTCCCACTTCTCCATTCTTCTCATGACAGCCATCAGCGGTCAGAATGCTGTAAGGAAATAGACATACTTGGAAAATGGGCAGCAACTTGCCAGATGATGGTGGTGACCTACAGTCAGCAGGTGATCGAGGAGAATATCAGTGCAGAGTGACACATATTGAAATATAAAGTGTGAATTGTAGTGAAATAAAAATAGCCAAGATGGAAATATTCTACAAATCAGCTATTCGGTTTGAATACTTTGGTCTACAATTTGCAATTAAGTTTCAACTCCCAACAATCCACACCATCCTGTGTATACGCTAAATTTCAATAGATTATTTTACTTGATGAATGTAAAGCAGGGCTTGTTTTGAACCTAGGATCCAAGTAAAAAAGTTAGAAGTGTTTTTTTCTTCTTCTCTCAATGAACAAAGTTTTATTTTTACGACACAAATAAACACTGCTACAAGAGGTGCTTCCTAGTCCAGTGCATGCACCTACATTCAGCACCTCCACGCTATGCATAGAGGTGCTGCACGTTACCCATAAAGATGCACGGATTCAATGGATCTCTATGAGGAAATGCTGATTGATGCAGCGCGTTGCCATACATGCGCAATATGCTCTCCTATGGCCGGACACTCACAAATTATTATTTGTTTTATTTTAACTTATGTCCACACAGTCTCCCTACCTTTGGGAGGGCTGGAGTGAATGATTTGACCACGGTGTTATGGAGCCTGTAATCTTCAAGCTCTTCTAGCTGTGCTCCCTTGCGCACCGTTTAGTGATACCGGTGTGATGTCATATCCAGGCTCCTGGCTTTACAACAAGAAGTGCGAGGGAGCAGAACAGGAAGATTACAGCTCCCTCGCCACCAACCTCCATTCTCCCTCAGCCAGCCAAAAACCCAGGCACCAGGGCAAAATTCCTATTCGCTATTGTGATCTGCGATTTGTTGAACCCTGATGTAAGGTATTGTTATGGGCACTCTACAGATAGTTACGGGATTACCCTGTTTATTTCACCGTATACCCTGTTTCGGTAGTTATACTGTATAAAACTCATTTCACGTACAGTGTGGACTATGTATTCGTGCATACGAACGACGGACGACCCAGCCCTTGGCGTGTGCTGCCACTTAACCTTTTTCACCTTTAAAAACAACCGAACGACCGACCACCCTACGAGCGGAGTGTGCTTGCTTCTAATTGACCACTGGGAAGCTGCGGTCTGCGGTTAACCGCAAGCTTAATTGACTGTCTCAGGGTGGCCTTGTTTGTGTAATAATTCACCGAACTGAAACTCACGAAAGACTCCAGCATCCTGGTGTGTGGCCCCAATTAGAACGTTGGGTCTGCGGTTAACCGCAAGTTAAGTATCCACCTTCATGGTCGTCTTTGTTCGGCTCACGAAGGGCTGAGACAACCATCCTCTGAACGGTGTTCGCGCAACTGTTCAGCTGCTACTTACTCCATGGGTTTTAGGTCCAGGTCCCGCTCTCTATTCACCAACCTGAAAACATGGCCACCATCTCGTGTTCGGGACTAAAAGGCACAAACGGACTTTGTATTGAAGAAACTGGCTACACCGTTTGTGAGATCTGAGCGCTATTCGCCTATCTGCTGCGCTCAGATCGGGGCTACCTAACGAATGGTGGAATGCAAGATGTGTCTATTAAAATGTTATAGTTATATATTTTTATACTGTTTTATATGTTACAATAAAACGTGGGAATTTGGGCGCTTGGAGATAATTAAATTGTCATAACTGTTAGAGTCATTATCTCCAAGCTGGGCGGTGACCATTTCAAATGATACACTGTAATGCAATTGGTCAACTGTTTGTATTGTCCCTGTATCCCATCAGGTCCAGAGGGGGCTGTCCCTGGACCTGGGGTTTTGCATAAATAGCGATGCCTGTGTGCTATTAAACCCAGTTCGTTTTGACCCTCAAATCGCAGCCTCGAGTCGTTTTGTGGCGACAAGGGTATACTAGCTGTACCAGAGTTAGTGGGATTGCTTTATATTCACAGGATTCTTGTGGTATGCTGATCGGAACGGCGCTTCTCTCTCTCCACACTTTATCAATATTATCAATGTGAAGTCTTAATTCCAAAAGCAATACAAACAGGGTTAGTCACTTAAAGGAACACTATAGGATCAGGACCACAAACATGTATTCCTGACCCTTTAGGTGGCTTGTCCCTCCTTAGCCCTCTTAAAAGCAATTAAAACTCACCTTATTTCCAGCCCCGCGCAGGTCCACCAGTGCTAGCTCCGCCCCCTTGGTGACATCATAATTGCTGATTTTTAGCCAATTCAATCGGCAAGGGGGCGGGGCCACGCAAAAGGCAGTGTTGACATAAAAATGCCTGAAGGAAATTATTATACTCACCAGAACAACTACATTAAGCTGTAGTTGTTCTGGTGACTATAGTGTCCCTTTAAGTGTGAATAGAAACATAGATGACCTGGTGATTCTTCCCCCTCTAACCCCCCCTATTTAGAGTAAGGATAGAGAAGATGCAACAAAACAACACAATAACAAAGATTTTAAAAGGCAGATACCTTAGATTCTGTTTTTCCTGGTGGAAGAAATTCCATCTCAAACACTGGATTATCATGATGACCCACAATCACGAAATAGAAACTGCCAGACATGGTAACCAAGACCAAAAACCACCTAAGAAAGAAAATAAACATTACAAACATGTATTCCTAACATCATAGTGCTTGAATAAATATTTAGGTTGGAGCATCCCCCCCCCCCCCTCCTCTCTGTGGAGTAAAAAGGTACTTATAATTTCTCCATCACAGCGCTACACCTGTAGGGTCCCTGGCCTCCCCCTTAACTAATAAGAAAACAATAGCAACTGCCACGCAGTTCCTCATGTGCTGGCCCTGCCCCCGATCCACCTCCTTGGATGACATCATCAGAATTAATGATGTTAGCCAAACACAATGCTGTGATGGTCAATTCTGATGATACCAGTCAAGGGGGTGGGGCGAGGAAAACGCCACCCTAGCCAATCTGCATCTCCCCATAGAGATGCAATGAATCTCTATGGGGATCATTCAGCGTCTCCATGCAGAGTGTGGAGATGCTGAACGGCAGTGCTGCCTTCTATGCAGCACTGATCCAGGAAGCACCTCCAGTGGCCATCTGAGGAGTGGCCACTTGGAAGTGTCCCTTGTCAGCAATGTAAACACTGACTTTTTAGATTGTGTTTAGATTAAAAAGCCTGCAAGGACGGACTATACTCACCAGAACAACTACATTGAAGGTTTACTATAGGGCCAGGAACACATACATGTATTCCTGACCTTAAAGTGTTAAAACCACCATCTAGCCCCCCTGGGCCCCTCCTGACGCCATAAATATAGCAAGATATTACTGTATTCAAGCCAGAAACAAAAAAACAAGCAGTCTGCTGACATCATCAGAAGTGGTGGCCTGATCCAATCACAATGCTTCCCCATAGGATTGGCTGAGGCTGACAAAGAGGCAGATTAGGGGCAGAGCCAGCATGATTCAAATACAGCCCTGGCCAATCAGCATCTCCTCATAGAGATGAATTGAATCAATGAATATATATGAGGAAAATTCAGTGTCTGCATGCAGAGGGTGGAGACACTGAATGTTTGTATGCATTTTAGGCAGCCATGACCCAGGAAGGATCTCTAACAGCTATCTGAGGAGTGGCCAGTGAAGTTATCACTAGGCTGTAATGTAAACACTGCATTTTCTCTGAAAAGACAGTGTTTACAGCAAAAAGCCTGAAGGTAATGATTCTACTAACCAGAACAAATTCAATAAGCTGTAGTTGTTCCGGTGACTATAGTGTCCCTTTAAGACGTAGTTTTTCTGGTGACTATATAGTGTCCCTTTAAGTATTTAAGGACCATAACTCCAAAAAGTAGTTGCTGGATAGGACTTGTCATATCACCAAAATTTAAAAGGCACTATAACCATGTTATCTCAATGAATTGGTTATAGTACTTGGAGTTCCCTAGCACTATCTCTCAATCAAACCATTTTCAAGCATTTTAATACTGAATTTGGATCCCTGGCTACCCACAGTCCAGCCCTCAGTGGATGTATGACTAAGGCAGAAATGACACACTTCCTTCTAGCCATACCAGCATTTGTGGCTGTGGTAGGCTAAAAGTGGTGAGTTAACACTCTCATCCAATTACATCAACCCACAGCAACTCCAGTTGATGCTTCCTCATTAGCGCAAGCAGCACATAGGGGATGGGAAGCTGTGGTCTCTCATTTAGTATTAAAAATGGTTTTAACATCTAATGAAGGGACTGTGCCAGGGGACTCCAGACACTGTAACCACTTCAATGAAATGTCGCAGCTACAGTGCCAAAAGTGTCCCTTTAATGCGCGCTACATTATTTGCAAACAGGCCAAGCAAACCCGACTGAGTCAAGTCATATGGTGTTGGGGGGAACCAGAGGAACACTTTACAAATGGTCATATTTATTATTATTATTATTTATAAAGCTCCCACACATTCCGCAGCCCTGTACAATATCATTAGTGACACTAACTGCACCACTGACTCCCTCTCCAAATTTCAGGTCAGAAGAGCTTCGTCCTCCCCACTGGAAAATGTCATGGGGCACTATAGTCACCAAAGCAGGTTTAGTTTAATTAAGCAGTTATTCTGTATACATGATATAAAAGGCGAGTATTTGGGGGGGAAAAACCACCATCACTGGATTCTCCTGGTTAAAATGTCACTAAAACTCCAATAGCAGTATTTCCCCACAGGACAGATATAGCCATTGACCGTGTCAGTATTGCTATTATTATTAATTATTATTATTATTATTATTAATCTAGGTCTATCCAGTGACTTTCCTCTCCCAGCACCGACATGGTACACAGTCCCCACCTATCACAAGTCCAAATTACAACATCAAAACATGTCACAGAACCTGGAACACACTCGGCTCACTCCAATGTAGAATACATACTGACAGATTGGAATACTGACGGCTCCATTACCTGTGACAGTGGCAGTTCGAACAGGCAATAACATTCAGCCTACACCTATGGAGAGGCGGTCATTTTCCTGAAGACCAAAATCCGTCGGATATAATGCTATGGGGTGTCTCTAGTGTTTAGAACTCGGCATTCTTCCGTTGAGTTCTACGGCGAGGCTTTGGAATACGGAAGTGTCGCTCTTGGCAACGACGGCATTTCCTGTGATTGGCCGTTGGTCTGCAATGGGATTGGCTGCTGTTGTCTCCCGTTGGATGTGATTGGCTGCTTTGCTGGTGGCTGAGCATCCGCCTGTGGAGCCAGTAATGTGTTTACATTGTGAGTGACCGTTGGCAGATACAGAGGTAGATTCATAAGGGATTCTATAGGAACACACAGTATATTATTAATATATATTAGTAACGTGCTGTGCAGTATTCTATTATAAATGTATATATTGTAACATGCTATGCAGTAAGTATATTATACATACATTAATACATTAAAAATATATATATGTATATTTAGTAACATACTTTGCAACTATTAAGTATTATATAATATATACGCAGATACTGATCATGTCATGGGACAAAGAGAGATTGGAAGGGATTGCATAAGAAAGCAGGAAATCAAAAGTTGTGAGAAAACTCAGGATAAAAAAAGACAGAGGTGATGGGGGGGGGGAGTGGGTGTTTATTGAGCAGGGTCTGTTAGAATGGCTAAACCATAAAGAATAATAATTTTGCCTTTGAGTTATACCAAGTCTGCCCTGCAATGCCAACACGCAATACAAGGTTTCTGTGCGTAGGCTAATAGTGTGTCATTTTGAGATTTCTTACTAAATGTTAAGAATTGTATTTGCCAAGTTCTCAGTTGCTGCTGTGTTTATTGTAATTTACTTTCTTTGTATTACATGGTTCAGCCTTCCCGGTAAAATGTCTGACAGAGAGTTGAAAGCTCTTTCCCAAGAGGAAATGCGTAAAAGGTTATACCAGACATTTAAAGAAAAGGGTATTTTGGATTCACTCAAGGTATGTTATTTTATGTTATATAATATTGCGGTATGAAGGCAACGCATATGTGGATAAATGTCATCACAGGGCAGCTGGTAAATTTATATTACCAAGCCTAGTGGTATGTCCCCTTGATGTTACTTTTGCTATGACTGGCTTTAGTGATGTCGACAGTTTTGAGTTCCCTGTTTATATAGCCTAACTCTTGGGTTCTCTGTTGTCCTGTTTTGTTGTATAGAGCAGGTACTTATCCCAGGGTTCATTGTCGCCAACCTTCATACCCCAGGCATCCAGGAGGAGCTGCCAAATCCTATGTGTTCACCTCCAAAGATTCTGAGTTACAACTGCTGACATTATTGCTGAAGACTTGTTTCTTGGCTATCTATCCATCCTGATCCCTGGTAACAGTTTTGTGAATAGCACTGCATCCAGCAGTCTTCTGAGCTGCTAAGCCACAGCTCAGCCTTTCTCCAGAGCCAGGGCAGGATTCCCTGTCTCTTGTAGTTGCATACATGTTAAACAGATATTACACAGTAAGGAAGAAGCAAAATTTCAATCTATTCCATCCATATCAGAAGAACAAGTCATATAGCTGCAGTTATAAGCTATTGTGTTCAGTGGCACAGTAATAGGTTATTATGATGCTTAGAGTGACTCTTTTAGGTTACCAGCTTTATCAAAGAAACCATGTAACACTAACAATTATATTGATGCTTTGTCATTGTTTGTTTTAATCCACTTGTTTAACTGCTCTTGTGGAAATACTGTAACTATTTGAAATGGCAAAATGTTTGAATTCTGAATGTATATCATCATTACAGCACTGTTCATAAAGGCACAGTTTTAAATGTAAAGCGGTTACAAAATCTTAAAATCTTCTGTACTGGGAAACAATACATTTTGTCCACTGATATCGCTGTGCTTAAGTTATTTGCTTCTGGATGTGTGCTGGAGCATTTCCATTAATCTTTGTCTTACCGATGTTCTGTAGTCTCTTGGCTGCTGGCTTTGTTGTTATGGTGTCTCATACTAAAATGCCATACCATTTTATCTTTGTTAGTCACAACTCCGAAACCATCTTATCCATGAACTGAAACATCAAGCTTTCAGCGGAGCACAGAGCCTTTTGTCTGAAAATCTTAACAAGGAATCTCTAATACACAGAGCTTCCAACAGCTTGGTAGCTGATCACTTGGCACGTTGTGGTTATGAGTACACGCTCTCTGTCTTTTATCCAGAGTGCGGATTAGAAAAAGAAAAGGTGAGTTGTTTTTCTAGTTCTTTTTTCTGCAGATACTTTTACATCAAGTAGAGGTGTATAAATGATTGGTTGATATAATCGCATAGTGTTGGGCAATATTAAACAATGTATAATGCAACCTAGCTTGATGGAACTGGAGGTTCAAATCACAACAGAGATTTTTCTCCTTCCAGAATCAATAAAATGAGTACCATGAAAGGAGCTTTCTAAGTATAAACATGCATTTCTAACTATTCTAGGCCCCCCTGTGAAATTTAAATAAAAGATTTTTACTTACCTTTACTCCCATGCCGTGCCTGCCTTGCCACAGCCACCACTCCATCCATGGCTGATATCATCAGTGACAATGAACTCAGCCAATCCAATGCTTCCCCATAGGGAGGCATTGGAGGACTACAGAGCACGCATGGTAATATCTGCTCTGAGCCACTCCTCATCTCCTTATAGTGATGCATTAGCTCAGTGCATAAGCATGAACACTTTGAGTGTTTTACCTGCAAAGATTGCAGTACTGCAGTAGGAAGCATTTCTAGTGGCTGTCTGAGTGACGGCCTGGAGAAGTGTTTTTACAGCTCAATATAGTTCTCAGAAAAGGCAGTGTTTACAAGTGAGAGAGTACAGGGACAGTCTCTACACTAAGATAGAGGGGTTCTGGTGCTTAGTGTTAAAAGGAAACTAGCATTAGGAAGACAACACTTTAGAGTTTCTTCCTATCCTTTAGATTTATGGCTTCCCATGTAAGCATGATCTCACCCAAAATGAGTGACCACTACTAGAAGTGTCCTTAGGAACAAATGTAAACACAGAAACGGCAATGTTTAAACATGAGCAACTGCAAGGACAGTCTATTTGAACCTACACTACTTCAGTCATTTTTGTTGTTTTGGTTGTTTTGTTGTTTTGGTGCTTAAAATGTCACTCTAGTTTGCATAATACTAACTTCTAGACCTCAGAACATAACTGAAAATTATGGATCCTTTCTGATCAAATACATTTTCCACCCTTGATTCACTTAAAATATTAGTTTTTTTTTTATTACAGTCCTGCTAAAATAATCAAAGTTTTTTTTTAAAGAGGAGCTGTCACTTTCCCATATCATGCGTTTGACAGTTCACAATTTTAATAAACCCATGTAAGGGTGTTCATATATTAAAGTACATATAATTCTGTTTATATGCAAGTAAGGGCAAGCCAAGACACAGGATTTGCAATTCCTCTCCTGTAAATGAGGGATAGTTTTGTTATGGCAGCCATAGGTGAAGTGAGCGAAAGGGAGAAATATATAAAGAGTATTTGCACAAAAATACCATATATCTTATCTTAAGATCAACTCATCTTATTTTAAGGACTAAAAACATATACATCATACCTACATTTTTACCCCAGCATGCACAACCTGTAAGTGGGAGTTATGTATATAAACGTTTGCTTTTGCTTTTATGTATATTAAATGTCACTTTCACTTTTTATGTGCTTTTTTTCTGCTTTTATTGTAAAAACAGCACAGTGGCATTCTTGTGTTGAAAGGCTGCCCTCCCATTCAAACATGTCAGCATATGGCCTTATTGTCCACAAATTAATGTGCTCCTGTGCTACACCTAACATCTGTTCTGTTTTACTTTGTGAAAGCATTAAAGGGACACTATAGTCACCAAAACAACTTTAGCTTAAGGAAGCAGTTTTGGTGTATAGATCATGATCCTGCAGTCTCAATGCTCAAATCTCTGCAGTTTAGGATTTAAATCCTTTTTGTTTCTGTCCATGCAGCCCTAGTCACACCTCCCCTGGCTGTGACTCACACATCATGCATAGAAAAAAAACATGGTTTCACTTTCAATTAGATGTAACTTACTTTAAAAGTTCTTATTGCCTGCTCTTTAAAGTGAGCTCTAGTCATACACAGAATGCTTCTGTGGGGTCTAGCAAGCTATCAACAGTGCAATGAAGGAAGTATAAACATTAGCTGACTCTTTACTGGAAGTGTTTAGAAAGGCTGTGCAAGTCACATGCAGGGAGGTGTGACTAGGGTGCATAAACAAAGGGATTTAACTCCTAGATGGCAGAGAATTGAGCAGTGAGACTTTAGGGGCATGATCTATGCACCAAAACTGCTTCAATGAGCTAACGTTGTTTTGGTGAATATAGTGTCCTTTTAACTTTTGTTTTATAAATTAAAATGTTTGTTTGAATGCAGACCATTTAATATGTTGCTTGTTGTTTTAATTAAAGATTTTCAGTGCTGATGACTTACTGCATCTGATGAAAATCCATCCTAAATCCAAACTGTACAAGTTTATGGTAATATGTGATTTTATTTACTTTTTAATAGCTCTTCTGTTTATTTTTTGTTTGTTTTTGTTTATTCTTATACTGATGTATGTTTTCTTTGTTTTTTTGTATTGCAGATATCAAGTCTTCAAGATAAAAATGCAAAAGGTAAGTTTGTTTGACTTGTTGGTTTCCTTCTAAAATTGACTCTTTGACTTTTAATTTAACAACTTTCTCTAGCACAGTATTTTGTGTTTAATAATCTTTTAATTTATGTGACTGTGAATTAAATCTATGAGAAAAAGAGTTCACTGTTTTGAAAGGTATTTAAAATATTATTTCTAAACATTATCATTCCTTACATTAATGCAATGTTCTCTAACTGATGAAAGGAAAGTTGTCTCCTGTTGTCAAAAATATCAAAGAATCCACATATATTTTTTATTTCTGTTTAAAACAAACAAAAAAAGTTGTTTTAAGTGTTCACAAATGACATGGATCTGTGTTCCATTCACTTTAATTACTTTCAGATTTGAACTACCTTCAGCTAACCATAAATGTAACTGCTTTTTGTTTCGTACAATTGCTTATAACCTCTCTGTTTTGTTATTTAATATCAGGTTTTCTGTTTCAAATGCTAACCGAGATGACAGAACATCAGCTTCATAAAGAAAGCAGAGATGCAGACACTCAAACAGTGCCTAATTCCTTGCACACCTCAATCGGTACATTTCCTCTGTTTTTAACTCAAGTTTGCTCAAACCATTGGCTTAGTGAATACTTGTCTAAGCATGAACTAGTATTGTTAGTGTGCTGGGGCAGGATTACGGAAAGATGATATGGTAGTTTACCTTGGCACTCCAGATGTTTCTGAACTACATTTCCCATGATGCTCAGACAACATTAAGGGCCACGCAGCCTTTCACTCTTCTGATGCAGATAAAATACCATATATACCATTGAGCTGGTTAATAGTAACATATGTTTATCAGCTGGTGTCTCTGTTAAGTCCAATGATAGAGAAAAGTGTGTCTACAATGCTAATATATGTTTTGGAAGCTGCAAAAAGCCCTGATTCCAACAGCCAGATAATGGTAGTCATAAAATAAAGTATCGTCCTCCCCATCAGTCAGTTTGTTGGAAATCTACATAAACACCAGTGTTTTGACAAATGTAAGGTCTTTGCTGAGCTAACGAGAGTGGCGTTAAATATAAATATATCCCCTTTGGACGGTAAAAAGTGCAGCATAAGTAGATGTTATTGTTGCTATTTGAAACATTGGGGTTTATTTTTTTTTCGTATATAAATTTGTATTTTTCATTTAAAAGAAAATTCCAACCAAATGCAATCTCATAATTAGATATTACATTATTGTGCAATATTTTGCTTTACAATAGATTTATAGTTACACATAAGTTTAATATAACCATAATTCATACACTTGAACATTAGCTGCATTATCAACATTCAAACCATAGAAAAAAGAAAAAGAGAAAATAACATACATTTCCTCTATCTTACTGTCAATTCACATTGGTGCTACCTAAGTATGGCTATCTATAGAAAGGGGGTTGTGTTTTTACGGCTAAGATATCTAACCCAAGGGGCCCAAGTTTTATCATATTTCTCTCTGGATAACTTATTTGAGGCTACCCCAGCTTCCATCCTACGTTGATAATCTAATTGTATACATATGTCATGCCAGTTTAACGAGCCCATGTTTCTCCAATTTCTGGCCATAACTATTTTTATTGCCATAAAGGAGTGAATCATAAGGATTTTTTGTTTTATGTTAACTATTGGCATATCTAAATGAAACAGGAACATTTGAGCTGTAATGACAGTTTGCACCTTCAAAATAGAGTCCACCAAATCCGATAAAGTTGTTTTCATAGATTTCAACTCCTCACAGTCCCACCAGATGTGGGAGAAAGAACCTAACTCCCTACCACATCTCCAACAATCTGGTAGAAGTGTGGGTTGAAATCTATGGAGGCGAGTAGGCACCAGATACCAACGATACACCAATTTAAAAAACACTTCCTGTATATTCACCCCATGTATATATCTTTTTACTGATTGTAGGGCTAAAATCCAATCTTCAACCGAGGATGAAAAGTGGAGTTCCTGCTCCCAGTTATTCATTGCCGATGCTTTAACTATTGGGGTTTAAACTATTCGGTTTGGTTCCAGCAGTAACATTTGTAGTAGCCACAGTTCTCTGCTTTGTCAGGCTTGCCATGATCTGCCATGTAAATACATGATTCAACATTTAGCATTCTATATTTAAACAAATTGTGGACTTTTTTTGCTCATGTATTTGATGTAGTTGAAAAGCTTCAGTTAATTGATGAACAGTTTGAGGAAAGGTATCTAAAGCGGCCACATTATGAGTCTTTGGAGATTAAGCTTTCTGAATATCGTAAAGAAATGGAAGAACAACTGCAGCTAGAAATGCATCAGAAGGTAAGCAAGCATTACTGCCAGCCACCTATCTTATATATGAGTGTACTGTTCCTCGCATAAGTGGCTTGGACAATTATCAGACTTGTTTCTTTTTTACCTAGGCAAAAAGACCTATCTAATTTATTTTTTTTGTAGTGAAATCTATCTCAATTGAAATTTTATTGAAAAATATTGCAGTAATATACTGAGGCGGTATCTCGTAAATAATATGCAGAGGCTCTGCAAACCATCAGTATACAGAGCTGCTGCAAATCGGTGACTTCATATAACTCCAATAATCACCTATATTTAAATAACAAATAGCCACTGAAAATAAATAAAGCAGGGAGGGAGGATAGAGCCAACCACAGAACTGAATGGTCACAGCCTAGACTAGCTCTGTCGTCCTGCGGGTAGAATCTGACTGAAACAAACGAAAATAAAAAAATATGGGGCACCCCAAAAGGTCCACATCCTCACAGCAAACCTCTAGCAAAACCCGCAAATCTGGAGCCTTGACAGCAGGCCCCAATATGGTGCTTTACTTGCCGCGCTCTGACATACCGCCATCGAGCCTGGGGGGGCGTCAGAGGCATCAAGCCACCAAGTTGACAATGAGGTGAGAGACATGCTAAAGAACATGAGGATTAGCGGTATCTCCCAGTATATGTATTATTTCTGCATTTTGCCAGTAAGCCTCTAATGGGCTGCCAAGAACGCCCCCTACTAACTACCAGAATCAGTGGCACAACTAGATCATCATAAAACGAGTTCTGGGAAGGGTGAACACAGAAAGAAGTAAAACACTTTAAAAAAAAAAAAAGCTTCCCTCTTTCCCCTTCTCCCCTAGTTCACTTCGGGGCTCTATTGTCATTGCCAGGGTGCGATGCGCAAAAAAGCCACTTCTTGAAGCCAAACTTATTGAAGATCCAACTCTTGGATCCCACTAGCCAAACCCTCCACAACTCACCTAACTACTGCTCCGTGACCACATGCACCCTACCACCGCCCCCATTCACTACCTTTAATTGCATGAATATTTCGCCCCTAACTACTTACCAAAAACATATTTAAGTTAGGATCATCCTGGGAATGGACGACGTTTCCCAGCGACCCTTTCGATTCTGCTCATTTCTCTTTTGTAGAGATTCTATCCCCCTGCCATGTACACCACATTTCACCCCTACCTTCTTATAGGTATTGCACCTTCCTGCGGTGACAGTAAGGTTCTTGGTCCCCTTAACGGATTGGACTTGAGACTGTCACGGAGGTTTCCCCCTATGCCTGCCAGTGTCAAGGTCACTTTTTTATAACATTTCATAATGCTCCAATCCTATTATTTCTAGATTTGATTGTATATAGTCAACTTTTATTCATTTATGTTTGTTTTTTCATATTTGCTGAGCTCTGTCAGAGGGTGGCAAGAGAAATCCGCCACCCACACCACCCCTTGTAAATGGCTACCCCACAGGTTATAACCCTCAGTGCTCGAGGCTTAAACTCTCCAGAAAAACGTTCGTTAGTCCTAACGGAACTTCATAAATTAAAAGCTGACAGCCTTAATTCAAGAAACCCACTTTAGAAGCAATGAATTACCCGATTGGCTACTTTGGCCACTTCTCAGAGGCAAAGGTTTGTATGAGGTTTTTGATGGTTAAGGGGAAAATAGGCCACAACATGGTTACGCTTGTGAATATTAATTGCCAAATAGGAAGCAATGCAAGGCACTCAATATATACAATCTGTGGAAACCTTTACAGACGGAATATTCATCATGAGTGGAGACTATAATGTTTCACTTGATTCAGTCATGGATACGACCTCCACCACCTCTACACACCTGACCAAACAATTCTCTCACCTTCTTGACCAACCACAACTGTTTGACTGTTGGCGAATCCTGCACCCTAATCTGAGAGATTACTCATACTACTCACATGCCACATATACATAGTCTAGACTGGATATGTTCTTTCTCCCACACAGATTTTTGCATCTAGTTAGCTCGTGTACATATGGCGCGATAACCTGGTCAGATCATGCACCCCTGTCTCTTGTCATCTGTATCCCTTCTCTGCCACTGAAGTCGTTCCAGTGGAAATTGAATGACCTTATACTCAACAACAAATAAGTCATTTCGCAAATACACACTCCCACAGACAAGACACATCCTTACAGATCACCTGGGAGGCACACAAATGTGTCCTTAGAGGCCAGATTATTGCTCTTGCCTGTAAGCACAAAAAGATGTGGGAAGCTAAACTAAAAACCGTTACTGATCAAATGAGGGCACTTGAATTAACCCACAAATAAACAGATAACAATAAATGCATATAAACACTTCATCTCAAAACGCTCAGAACTACAACAACTTTTAAATGCTCAGATCAAAAACAAAGTGCTACGCACCAAACAATCTTACTACTCCATGGGAGGGAAATGTGGGCAACTTTTGGTCAACGCACTGAAACAATGCAGACAAAACACTTTCATAGCCAAGATCAAACCCCGCAATACGGGTATATCCCACACACTACCAGATATTATGGAAGCCTTCCACCAATATTACTCTAAATCATACAATCTGACGGATGACCCGCCACCCCAAATAAACATTATAAACTTCCTTAACCCTAGGGTAAAGAACAAAATCTCAGTTAACGCCCTGCAAGCCCTCGATGCACCACTAACAAAGACAGAATTTGATAAAGTGGTACATGCATTACCCTTGAACAAGAGCCCGGGCCCAGATGGCTTTACAGCAAAATACTACAAGTTATTTGCCAACATACTAGCCGACCCATTTACACAAGCCTTTAACTTACTTTCTGACACTCAAACACTACCATCCTCCGCTTTGGAGGCACACATAACATTGTTACCAAAACCAGGGAAAGACCCCACAAATTGTGGCAGTTACTGACCGATATCCCTGATCAACATAAATATAAAACTATTTACAAAAATCTTAACAAAATTGCGACCCCTACTCCAAAACCTGACAGGGGTACTCTCTCTCCCCTCTCCTTTTCATCTTCACGATGGAACCTTTCTTCAGGGGATCCGTGACAGAGAGGAAATTCAAGGTTTCCGGATAAACAACATTAATTCAAGGTCCCGGCCTTCGCTGATGATCTTCTATTCACGCTGACGTCTCCCATCACGTCACTGGCCCCACTACTGGAGGAAATCTCCCTCTATAATAAGGTATGCAACTTCCAAGTTAACTTCTCCAAAAGCAAGATCCTACCCTTCATGATAGATGACCCATCTCAAGAATCCCTTTGATTCGGCCAACAATGACATCAAGTATTTAGGGGTATATTTATCTCCGGATCTCAGTAAAACATACAACTTCAATTCTGAACCGCTTCTCCACATAATAGATAGGGACCTCGCCTCCTGGAATAAACCTCAATTTGTCTGGCTATGTCAAATAAATATTGTAAAAAATGTATACCCTACTGAAAATCTTGTACCTTCTTCAAACCCTCCCCATTCATACCCCCAAATCCTTCTTTAACAAAATTAAACAATTATTCACTAAATTTGTATGGCCCCACAAACATCCCAGACTATCTCTTGACCTAATACGACCCAAAACACAGGAGGGACTCGACTTTCCCAACATAGGTCTATATCACAGAGCGACTATATTAACCAGACTGAATGGACCAACCTGACACCACAGACACAATGGGTGCTATTGGCGGACTTGTTCCTTCTGATACCACTATACATGATACCCTGGCTGGGACCACTTATCTCCGCGCATGCCAAACCCCATATCATACTATAACCCTGACCCTCCACATGTGGAACATAATAAAAAAATTACCATCCATCGCCCCATACCCCTTTCCACAATATCCACTGACAGGTATCCCACTATTCCCACTGGGGATTCCCACTCACTCTTGCGATTTTGTTGTTGTTGTTTTTTTAAGGGATCCAGACACAACATCTTATCTTAGGCTGACGTCGGTCCTGGACGGACACTTGGTCAAGCCCCTCAACAATCTGATGAAATCAACCTAACTTTCAGTCCTTCAAACTTACAAATATGTCCAACTATCTCAATTCCTACACTCCACCGAGAAACTCCTCAAAGGCTCTCACACTATACAAAATGCTACAAGAGGAACACAAGGGACAGTAACCTCACTTCACCACTCCTTGGGCCCAAGAGCTAAATATCACCTTATCACAAAGGGAATGAGAAATGGTATTCAAACAAATTCACACATCGATAGTATGTAACACCATGCAAGAAAGTCACTATAAGAGGGTATCTTGTTGGTACTACTCACCATCTAAATTACATAGCCTTTTTCCCACTACTGTAGATGCCTGCTGCAGATGTAATCAACCTGGCGGCACTGGTCAAGGATATCCGAGCATACTGGTCAAGGACAGTGTCAGTGATTGATGCTATAGTGGGAATTTTCATGAAACTTATACTGATAACGACCATATTCCTACTACACCAGACCCCATGTCCTAAACCTCAAAAAGCCCTAATATCTCACTTATTGTCAGCAGCGAACCTTCTCATTCCAGTAAAATGGAAGAACACACTCCCTTCCCTCACCTAGGGAATGGATACAAAAGGTTGAAACGATTAGGCTAATGGAAGAGATAAACACCTCCTTGTCCCATAAATACCCTTTCTACTCGGCCGCTTGGGAACCGTCGCTAAAGTTTCTGTCAGACAAACCAGGAACATAACAAACTCACCTAAGCCTTTTTCATTAGCTTATCTGGTGCCCTAGGCTTTGGTGTCACAATAAGATGAAACACACATAACACTGCGGTTATATATAGCTCAAGATGGCAGAGAAATGGATAGGCCCGAGTGGAGCTTCTGGGACCAATGTAGTCCCCACAGTTACTGTTATATAGGAGTTACCAGGCAATTTGGTTGTATTCCTATCTTATACACGGGTTCCAGTATCTCCTGCCTCACCCACGAGAAGGTCCTTTTGATGACCGAAAGCGAGAAGTGGTTCCAATCTGAATGAAACCCACCCAAAGAACATACTGGGACCTAAACAGTGTACATCCACACAAAGTACCAAGGGATTAATTGAACACTGGATAATACAGTGTAGTGTGTTAATGCAGGAGTGTTTTTTCAAGTTTCTCTGTCCCATTTTTTATATTGTTTGTGTGTATAAATGGTAGCATGTTCAGTGTGTTTATATAGTAGTTCGAAAGAAACATGTTTGATGAATTGATCACTTGTTTCTAATTTTGTATTTTTTCCTTTCCCTAGCTGCAACACTTTAAAGAAGTTGAAATAGCAAGAATTAAGCTGGAAGAAAAAGAAAAATCTCAGAAAGAAATAGCTGATTTTCAAAGACAGTTAGAGAAAGCATACCAGTTAAAATCAGAAAGTTTACTGTCACGGGAAAAGAATGCCATCGAGAGACTACAGACTCAGCAAGAGGTAACTAAAATATTTGAAAAAAATAAATAAAGGCCTTGTACATCAAGACGCTGGATGTCCTCGTGCAGAGCTTGAGGACGTCCAGTGTCATTTAGACGACAAAAAATCCGTTACCAACCTGGAAGCCCCTCAAATGGCTGTCTGATAGATTCCGCTATTCTGCTATACAAATTGCATTATATGGAAACTGATTACATGAATGATTAAATATAAAGCTGGTTTCACAATTGTTTTTTAAACGTCTGTAATCCAAGTTGATTATTATGATCTCTTAGCATGCACATGATCTCATTCTTAATATTTGTGTTTGCTATTCTCGCTATATAGTTTGCCACTGACCAGTCTGAAAATGTAATAATATTATCCGTAAATCCACAGATCTTCTGCACTTGTTATGTGAATGTTAAGTGCTGAGAGATACATCCATTGCTTTTTAAGATGTCAGATTTATTGTAATCCTGTTGTTTAGGCTGGTAGCTAATAGAGAATCTGGTTCTGACAGTTCCAACACTAACAGGTTATTTACTAAACTGGCAATTCTTCAGGAAACTCAGTGTTCCACTTTCCGTAGGTTGTAACGTTTAGCTCATGTACTTCTTTTTCTCTGCTTACTTTTATTATACAATGAAGCTGCTTCATTTAATCTACAGCCATGCGTGTAAGTCAGTTAGAAGAACAACAGACAGTTATGTGGTGATATCTTTGGAGATGCTGCTGTTGTGTGAGCTGAGGAAGTCTTTGGCCCAGTGGGGACCATATAAAACCCCGCCAGTCCATAGGGTCTGCGAATTGGACTGTGAGGACGCAGGCAGCTCAAGGAGCAAAAGCCTGGGTGGCTTCTCTAATTCACATTACTTGGCTTCGGGTTTATTCAGTTCTGTCATTGGCTGAGCAGTGTATGTACACTGATAAGGAAGTCTTTTTTTCTAGAATTAGAAAGCATGACTGGGGCGGGGCCTGCCCTGCATGGCCAGACACATTCTGTGGGAGCTCCTCTCTTGAACCTTGCAATTTCTAAGTTACCAACTGCCTAGCACCTACTTTTTGCCAGATTTGTGGACTGCCTGTCTTCGGAACCAAACGGGTGGTTTCGTTGCGAGCTTACAAGCTATAAGCGCCGGAGGGGCCTAGCAGAGTACTCAGGCGGGAGAGACTGCTGCTCTTGCTCCTTGAGCTGCCTGCGTCCTCACAGTACAAATCGGTAGACCCTTTGGACTGGCGGGGTTTTATATGGTCCCCACTGGGCCAGAGACTTCCCCAGCTCACACGACAGCAGCATCTCCAAAGATGGCGGCAGCGTGCATACCCTATGGGCACAAGCAGCCCTGGAGTGTCCAGCAGAGTTATGAGGAGCAAACACTGAAGCAACTGGATGACATCTTCAACCGTTTCTGGGAAGCAATTGAGGCTCGCACAGCACCACCTTCACCCCAGCATTAAGTATGAGATCAGGTCGAAAGTAATCGGAGGGGGAATGGGACACTCTTGGCCACCGACAACACACGCACACTCTCCTCACAATATCAGCCCAGCCAGGCTGAGGGCCAGAGGGGGTATTACCCTGCTGCATCAACCACGTAGCAGGAGACCGCACACCACCAACGACAACCGTCCAAACAGGTCTCATGCAGTGTGAAAGGGAAGGACTCTGACTACACAAGCTCCCAAGTCTGTGGCTTGACAATGTAGGCCTTCATTCAGGCCTGGAGTTGGAGGGATGATCCACCTCACCCTGGTGCTTTTGGAGACTCTCCGATACCTGCCACATGTCACTCAACTCAAGATAGTGGCTGAACAGGAACTTACCACCAAGGCTGCTGACCTATGTGAAAGGTCCCCATATTGATGACCATATCTGTCTAACGTTCACTAACTATGCTCCCTTGGAAGTGCTGTGTCCTTTCATTTGTTTAGTTTCAGTTTTTGGGGGGTTTAGCTTAAACCTCATTTAGTGTGACGCTGTATCATTATATGACAAAGAGTCCCAGTGGTATATGCGCCCCCCTCAAGTGGTCAGTTTGTACCCTCCTTGTGACTCTCTTGAATTGCTTCATGCCTGACCTGATGTGCGCTTCATAATACCTACAAAAGTGTAGAATATCATATGACATTTCTCAGCATACTTACTGTTGCAAATTTTTCAGCTGAAATGTCTTTCTCCTCTCATTATAACAAAAAATGGTGCTGAAACCTTGACAAATAATGTATTGCTCTTACGCTAATCTTGTGATATCAAAATGACTTTTCTTACATGTTGTACATTCAAAGCACCACAAAAATAAAGAATTCAAAAAAAAAGAAAGAAAGCATGACAAGGAGGCAGGCTTATGTTGCCACATTTTACTAAACATTGATTTATTTTACTAAAACTACAAAGCTTTTTGCATGCAAAATAAATAAATAAAATACAGTAAATTTATGAAACCAGAACTCAAATTCAATAAAGTTGTATCGTTGCTCGGAGTGTCCCTTTTAAGTAGAGCAGTTTGCACAAACAAAGCATTCATTCCTATGGCGATCTTGTTCCATTTTTAAAATGTTGCGCTTCGGGGGAGGGGCCAGACTAGCTCCTTCAAGCTTTAGTGATTTCAGCAGATAATCGGCAGTTGACTCACCCATCTGGTGCCTAAAAGTCAACATTCATGATGTACTAAGCAGAAAGTGGGGCAGATGCAGTACTCGAGTGCTAGAGCACTGGCGGAAATATTGAGGGTCTGGAATTTGCGGGCTGCTCAAGTGGGGGGCGAGGTGGACGGCCATCGCCTTACCTTTCTACCAAAGGCCGCACAGCTCGTGGATCCACTAGGCGGCCACGTTCCCTCCCCCCCAACTTTGGACTGGCGGGGGTTATCCTGGTCCCCACTGGAATGACCCAACGCTTTCTAAAGAGGCAGTGTACCTCATCCTGTACTACAACTCGGACCACAAGATGGCTGCCAATCAGGCCTATCAAGCTGCGAACAAAAGGCTTACCCAGCTTGCCTCTTTATACATCTAACCAATTCTAGGCCGGGTCCCGGCACATGGCTGACCTACTACAGCAGATGGAAACAGCCCGACTACCGCGCACAATGCTGCCTGACTACAGCGGACTCTAACCTTGAAGCTCAGTCCTTCACATCAATGCCCGACAATCAGGAACGCCAGGCGTCGACAGGAGAGGTGCCAGATGAGCGTTCCCTGGGAATCTGATTATACTTATGGGCTGGATACATGGAGAACTCGCTGGTCAACTGGTGGAGCAGTGTACATAAGAAGGGACACTCCGCAAGACACGCTAACACTGATAATTCCCCTGGGACACGTAGGCCACCCGGATCTCTTGCCCTTCCCCCAATCCCCCCCTCCTCCCAAGACCCTTGTAAGCTCCCTCCCCCTCACCCCACTGAAACAGTGACGGGCATACAACACAGAAACACTTCTATCACACCGAGAAAGTCCAATCTGACTCTGCGCACCCCAACAAGACACTGGCATACACTGAAAGGTGGACTTTCCCTGCAAAACACAAAGTGATGACATGGAGATCGGATGGGGGCTAGGCTACACTAGGTGTGGCACAAATGACACCGGCACCCACCATACAGTACACCTGCTGACCCAGCAACAAAACTTAGCAGGGTGCCACTTTCAGACCCGCACAATTTACACCAAACCACTGACAGAAATGACACTAATCAAGGACATGCCACCAAGTGGCAGAAAACACAACTCTAAGCCAGGGCTTCAGGCGGTGGTCCTCGGGCTATCGCCTGAACAACGCAAACGCAGAAAGCCGAACATCGGCCCTGAGACAGTGTCTATTTCCCACATTGCTTTTCGTAGAATGTTACAACACTGAAACATGGTACTAAGTGTACAATACACAGGCAATGTAAAGTGCACAACGTGTGTCCGCAAGAATAATACTATGTAAATGCATAAACCGAATCCCATTCACAAGCCTCGAAACTGACTTGACCAACATCCTATGTATATCGCACTGTTCAATACAGTTTGAAACGATTGTTCACAAAACTGTACTTTTAGAACACCTGTTACACTGACCACTCCTTTATTTTTCTGTAACCCTATCCAAACTTGAAACTCCAAATAAATAAAGATTGTCAAAAAAAAAAGGGGGGGACACTCTGCAGGGACTCTGTTTCTACAGGGTCTAGCTGGGACGGGGGTTGCTGTGTGCCTTTGGGGATGGCATAATAACAAGTATTCCATTGCTCATTGTTGCAGCAATCTAATGCCTTCCCTATATGCTCATGGTGCTTGTTAAGCAGGGCTCCAGTTGATTTACCTTCCTTCTTTATGTGCAGCTTTACAAGTGTGTGTTTTACTTTTATCTTACTATCACCTGAAACATAGGCGCCTGAACAGTTAAAGTTTTAGTTTTTTTTAATCCAAGGAGGAGTCCATAGCAATATATTGGACAAATCTTGTGAATTAAGGCATGTCTACCCAGTTATTTTTATTATTGACATAAACTGTCTGAATAATCTACTATGCATTTAATACTCATATTCTTTGACATGTTTATTAGGCTTGTTTTACATTTATTATACTGTACTCGGCTTGCCTGCTAGAATACCATAACTATAACATTTGTGCAATTGTTCTGCATGGCATGTTATAATCTTATACTGTCTGTTTTTTTCGCTTCCCCTGCTGTTGTGGTTATGTTATTATTTGCACAACAAAAATAAAGAATAAAAAAAAATGTTGTGCTTCAATTGCTAATTTGATGATAAATGTGTTGTTTTTCTTTATTTTTATTTTATTTTTTACGATCTGAATCACACATATTTAAAAGTCAATAATATAATGGACCATTAGTGCTTTAGCTTACATTATTGGTGCTTACATTACGTATTGCACAAGGTCTTCAAAAGTTAAAAATTTATTTTTACAGATAGAAGCAAAGGAAATGTATTCACAGAGACAAACTTTGCTGAAAGAGATTGAGCTGGTACGGAGCAGAGAAACAGATTTTCGGCAGCGGATAGAAGCCTTTGAACTGTATGTAAATTAGGAATCATTTAAAAAAAAAACATTTAGTACTGTTTTTGGTGTGATAATTTATTCTATCAAAATTTTCAAGGGTTCACCCACAGTATGGGTTTACAAAAGATTATAGGAAACTGTTTGGAGGACCTGTGCGTCATCTTAATTTACAGGGGTTAAACCATTTACAAACCACTTAATCCCGAAGTTAAGTAGACAACGTCCATCAGCTCTGCACCTCTTCTTCTGGCGATGTCCAAGGGTGCGATGAGTAAGCCTCTAGCTGGGTGCAAGTGATAGGCCAAGAGGGTCAATTGATGCTCTCAGTCAATCACCAGCTCCACATTCTGTAACTTTCTCATCCAGCTCGAGGCTTCTTCAATAAAACCTTGGACACCAGAAAAAGAGATGCAGACCTGATTAACACCAACTATTTAACTTTGGGGTTAAACTGTCCATAAACTGTTTTACCTCTAAAGGTAAAGCGGCACCCAAAACCTCTAGGCACCATAGCAATTTCATTGAGATGATGTTACTGTGCTTGACATATTCCTTTAATCTTATTGAATATGTTAGTTAGTTTATTGAAAAGGGATACTCCAGGCCATATAACGTCTGCAGCTTATTGTAGCCTTTATGGAACAAAGACTCTAAGGGTGCAGTACCTCAAAATTGATAATTATACAGTTGTGAGTAACTTTTAGGCAGTCTAGTAACTTTAAAGCAGTTTTTATTTTATATTATATAATATAAAATTAAAATCAGACTTAAATTTCAATTCCTACACTACTGGTCAGGCCTAAAAGTTACTCACAACTGTTGTTTAGCACACTTGCCTGGTGAATTTCTACACGACTAAATATCCACTCACTAATGGACATTTCAAAGGTGGTGAGTGTGCCACATTTGAGGTACATTAGAGTTGCTGCAGACTTATGCTGTTTACCTAAGCCAGGTGTTTATAAAATTATCACATGTTGTGAGGGTTAAAAATCTTCTGTACAGTAACATAATTCACATGAATTTTTTTTTCTTCAGGGCTAAACAGTTGCAAGAGGAGAAAACCAAAAGTGTGGAAGAGTTGTTAAGGAAGAGACAGCTGGAAGTTAGGAAACTAGAAGACAATTTTGAAAATAAGCTTAAAAATGAATTACTCAGGTATTTAATCATGCATTCTGTGATAAATTAGGTGGCTGTTATTACATTTCCCTTGAAGATGTTTTCTTTTCTCTTGTCTTTTCTGTTTTTGTGCATATTCAGATAGTTGTTCCCCACACAACTTTAACAAATTGGTACACTATGAGTCACATATGTGTTTCATTTGATGAAGAAAGAAACCACAGACGGGCCCTTTTCTCATTAAAAAAATTATATTTTTAGAAAATTCCAATGCTGTTACATTTTTTTTATTTTTATTTGTAAAGTTTGATTTATAATTTGTTTTGCTATTGTTTGTTAAGTAAGTCAGTTTTTTTTTTTTAATTGAAATAGTTACCCTTATTTTTGCAAGCCACTACAATTGTTCATATTTGTTCTTTACTATCTATTGTTTTGTTGAAAATCTATACAAAAAGATGATTTGTTATTTTTTTTGTGGAAGAGATCAATCTATTCTGTCTTCTCCCAACACGCTAGGTATCAGATTGAATTGAAAGAAGAATATTTAAAGAGGACACAGAAAGTTAGTGAAGATGAAAAAATAAATAAAGGTTAGTAAATTGTCATATAACTGAGTTTTGTTTCGTTTCCAAAAATGTTTTGGTCCTTTTGTGACTTAATATACATTGATTATACCATTCCCTGAGATCGGGTACATAGTGATTATTTGGTTCATAAACAGCGAACTTCTGTTGAAAAAAAACAAACAACCTCATATTTAATAGCTGTAAAAAAAATGAGGCCTATCTGCCATGCTAGAAAGACACAGCTTGTGGAAGCTCTTTGGGTGTCAGTAAAAATCGCTCTGCTACTTTGGCAATTATCCCCAGGCAGCAGCTGAACTTGCTTAACAGCATTACCAGGTAACAAGCTCATTCTACTGGAAACAAGACTTTGCAGCCTGATCATCCACATAGGTCAGAAGAGGCATCTTACTGTATTTCATGCTTGTAAACTCCTGGACCTCAGTTTACTTACAGTAGTGAGCACCAACATTACCACAGCACAAAATTGAATGTGAAGTCTAAGCAGAAGGAGACTATGTGGTGTGGGAAGCCTCTGTTGCATTATAGGGACATTCTCGGAGTATTCGATTGACCATGTTTCACTTTCTGGGTAAAGTTGTTGTTGCATTCTTGAGTTTTCATTGCCGGATGTCAGAGACAGGGAGTGCGACTTAGACCCAGGCCTGACAAGATGCAACTGCCAAGTGAGTTTAGGACTGCAAGGTGACTTTATAGCCTTACACCTGCTACTCCATAACATCATACATCTCTATTTTGGCATTTTCCAGGGACACTATCCAGCAAATGGACTTGACATTCTAGTAGACATGTTGTAAAGCTTACATACAAACCTGGGATTAACTTGGCAGCTACACCTGTATACACGTTTACTGTTTTTCCCTGTTTTGTGGCAGATCTCTGTATGCATCAGGGCAGAGCAGATATGTTTGGATGGTTAAGTATCTGGTTTCTGATACCATGGTTCTTACTCCTTTGTTTTGCTACATTTCTAACACTTAGAATGTTGCCCAGTGGATTTTGTACTAAGACTCTGCTGTATTACTTTATATACAGTTTTGTTTGTTTTTGTTCATTCTCTTGTATAATTGTGTTTACTATTTCTAAAAGCATGGTATAACTAGTTGTCTTAGTAATATTGTTAAGTAACATGCATGTGCCATTCAATAAGCAAAGATTGACAAAACATGCATCCCATCTGTGACAACTCAGACTACTGATTGTTATGGTTTTATTGTTATGTTAAACCCTTACTGTTATTATTTCATTATTATGTTAAGCATAGTCTCACAGAGAGAGGGGGACTTGTGTTCTTGGTGGTGTGCTGGATGCTTGCATGAACAGGACATGTGATTGTGCCAGGGTTCTAACTGTCCCAGCTGTCGCTCTCTCGCTTGACTCTGCATTTAACTCTTTTTTTTCTGTTGGTGGTGTTTGGTTCTCTCTCTGAAGTTGATGTGCTTTGTCTCTCTGATTGTCAGCTGACTGAAAAAAAAAATCTCAATCTAAATAATATCCTAATAGTACAAAAAGAGTGGTACAGGCTCTGTTATTGGGAAGATGGCGTCTAAGTAGCCATGACACATCCATATCCTTATATTTATTGTGGTGTAGAGAGGCTGTTGTCTTTCAAAACATCTTGTAGTAGGGGAAGTCTACAAAAACCTATATTATGCCTCATGTACAGTTGGCATCCCCAAATATTGGCAATCAAACTATATTGTGCATATGGTAATGGTAACTTCTATCCACCACTTTAGACTTCTACAACAAACTTCCACAGATTCCTAGAGTATTAGATTAAAGGAACACTCTGAGCACAATAACAATGGGATCAGAATTAAGTTTTTATGGTGCAAAGGAGGTCTCTGGTCGCTGGCTTACCTGAAGAGGCTACATCATTAACAAACAGTTTAACCTCAAATTCTTTAATCCATCGCTCGTTAATTCTCCCAATGAACTTTGCAGGCTTGAATCAGGAAACCTTGGACTGAGACCTGTGGATATGAGAGGTCACAAAGCGTGAGAAAATTAAGTACATTTCTCACTCCATTTTCTGAATGGGGAACTACTAATTCAAGCCTCGGAACGGCAAAGGAATTTTGTGAGAAAAGAGTCAACGGGTGTTGAAGTCAATAATGTGGGGTTAAATCGTTCGTTAATGGTTTAGCTCTGTGAAGTAAATCAGTGTCCATTAACCTCCTTGCACCAAAACAACTTAATTCCGATGAGGTTGTTATGGTGCCTGGAGTGTCCCTTTAAGTAATGCTCCCTGAGACTAGAATTTAAACTCAGGCAAGTTAACATCAGCCAACATACTTCTTTCTCTGTCCAGGGAACATGTTTCTGTTTAAATTAATATTATAGTATCTTTTACAGCCACATGGACGTTAACCTACTTCTAAAATATCAAATCTTGTCATCCAACAATTTGCAAACCACTAACAAATTTCTTACTGTAGCTGGTTTGAAGATTATATACGTACAACCCTGATTATTTTCCACAGACCCAGGCAAAAATTAGAGGGGGGGAGGGCAATCAAACCTCACAGCATAGCACAAGGATTGATGACAGCAGTGATTTGTTCTGGTTTATTGTGAGTGCAGTATTACTTTATGGTATACCTGCTCAATGCACTGGCCACCAGCAGATTTGATTCAGTAAGGGGTTGCGATATGTGGAGCTCAAGGACATCTTAATTGAACTCTGAGTTAGAATTGAATCGAACTCGGGGACATATGATGAGTTAATAAATATCAAGTTTAATACATTTCATCAATAGTTGGGTGGTTTTTCACATGTAACTATTTTTTCTGAGTTTAATAATTTTGTCTTGCAATACTTGGCAACTTAACACTTGAATTGTTTATATTATTTCTACAAGTTGGTTGCTATTGCAACCAGAGCGTGATGTTGGACTAACTAAGGGTTAACTAATTAACTAATCAACCAACGAATTTGTAATGTGTGTGTTTACAGTGTCATTATTTCCGTGAAGTACTAAGTCACACTGATTGCCAACAGACACAGAATATAATCTAGAAAGGTTTAATTCTGAAACTCAGCAGTGTTCATGTCTAATGTTACACATTATAAACACGCACACATTTGAGGAGAATGTGTGCTTGTCTCCGAGATGTTAGGTAGGTGGTTTGGTAGACAGACAACAAGTTTTCAACAGCTGGTCAAATTTCCCAGCTATTACTCTGGAATACATTACAGGCAGCAAAATTGTGCAAAGATCTGGGAAAATGAATACTTAATGTTGGCTTTGCATAATTTTCCTTTCCTTTTCCTGGCTCTGTAACCACCATCAGAATTAATTCTGCTTCTCTGTTTCTAAATGAGCATAGTTCACACACAAAGATTGTTAGTAAATGCTTTTTTATCACGAAGACATTAATTCGATCTTTAAAGTCTACTCGTGAAAAAATAGGTTATTCTTTAATATATTATAATATTTTACCTCTCCATAATAATAGCTCAATTATTTGCAAATGTGTCAATAAAAATGTATTTCCTTAAAGCCCATCCCATTTCTCCCATAGTCCTGGAGTGTCCCTTACTACAGTTATTGTTATGTAGACTCTTTAGTAGGGCATGGTGAGATACCACACAGAACATCTAGTAACAGCTGGATGTACATGCCTCCATTTAAATCCTGACCTAGCCATCCACACCTTTTAAGCGTTCAATACCTTTTTAAAGTATTAGCTGTTCTACCTTTTACTGCTGCTGTTGTTGTCATTTTGAAGTAAAATGGTGAAATGGTATGTACATATTTGTAAAATCAGGCTAATAAATGAAAATGCTATATATCAATCTATGGGTGTATCAATAGCCGGGGAGAGAGAATGTATACAAAAAAACCTGTTAATAAATGTGTGTTTTCCATTTGTGTGCCATATCAGAGGAAGCTGCCCACTTACGTGAAGAAGCCATTATATTAAACATGAAGAAACAAGAGGTGGAGAAAGCTGTGTCACGCACACGGGAGTTGGAGGTAAGGGAATTTACAAATTAATTTTAACATGAACAGGGAGGGATCGTCTCAGTAAAGCACTTTTCCATAGTTCACATTCTCCTTTCCAAAACATACAGGACACAACCAACATAAACCCAGCAAGTGTAAACCTACCACCCAACCACATAAACACGAATCTATTTAGTCATATCAAGTTTTACAGAAATCTGCACGTCGGCATAACCTGACCCATTGGCTTGGTAGAATATTTTTTTTTCATAATCTCAGGAATCGTCCTAGAGCTGACCTGCAAATTAAAATGAATCCTGCATTATGTTACCTGTTAACCCACATCCAGCTTGTACATTACATGCCAATTGGAATAGGATATCTTTTCTCATTGCAAAATATGTGCGGCAGCAAAGTACTCATTGACATAAAAGCAAATTAGGTATATTCTCTAATGTCAATACAGATACACTGAATGGTGTGCATGTTCAACCTGGAAGAAAATAAAAGATATTGCATAAAACTTTAATTTCTAAAGATTTCATAAGTAGAAAGGGTTGAGGAAAAATATTGTGTACCCAATAAAACAAATTAGTCTTTACCTTTTATGTATATGATGATTTGCAATAGTGCCATTAAACCCTTTAAATTTTTTTGATATGTTTATTCCACTTAAAGTGAGGAATTTGTTCAAGCACACATTTTATCTATACTTTACACACAGTTATTGGTAATTCAGTAGCTTTGTTTATAACATTTAAACGTAGTCCTAGTACTGACAGTGTTGTAAAAATCTACTCAAAATATTGTTTTTCTCATTTCAATTTTCCACAAAGGCTATTACGTTGCTTAGGATTTCCTGCACAGAATATGCACATCTGCAGACATCAAGAAAATAAAATCTAATTTATCAAAAGCTACAAGGTCAATTTCACCTGAACTACTTCCAGATTATTTAGACAAACAATTGCAGTGACAGGAACCATCTTTAACAGGAATTAGACTACTAGGTGTAGGAAAAATTAATTTTTAAAATAATATGACAGATTTGTCTTTGATCTCCTTACTACAGCTGCACATGCTTCCTTTCAAGTCAATAGGAGTGTTTGGAAGCCAGTTACACTATATTGATAGGCCCTGTTTTCATATGTGAAGGAAAGCAGTGCAGTAAAACAGATGTAATAATTATTTCTTTGCTAAAGCAGACCGTTTAGAATGTAATTCAAAGCATTATCTGTGCTGTCTTACAGCATATAAAAAGTATTATGCCTCCTATGAAAAATACAAACCATGTTCCTCAAACATAGGAAATGGACTGCTTGGAAATCAATATTTATTCCAAAGCCCCACATTGAAATTAGGCTTAAATGTAAGAATTGGAAATGGAAAACAAAGTTTTTTTTAATTCAGTGTGAAGGAAGCAATCTCTTAACTACAGTCATCTTCAAAATACTGTTGCATGAACGGCCATTGGTGCTTGCAAGCAAAAATTCGAATTTTAGGCCAAAGTATGTGAATTTAAAAAAATCTCAGTCAGTTTGTTCAGGCCTGCTTTATATTGCCTAATACTATCAAACCCCTATTTAATTTCTGGTTTATTGAATAACCATCTCTGTCTGTCTGATTTTAGTTGCTACTGGTCTCCCCGGGATCAGCAAATGGCATTTTTTTTAAATAGAATTGATCATCATGTATATCTGTTTGAATGTTAATTGATATTTTGTACTTTCAGACAGAAGTAAATGTGCTGAATGTTCAGCTCTCTCTATTAACAAAGCAGAATCACCAACTGACTGAGAAGCTGAAGGAAACCATAGACTATCCTTTAATAATTCAAGAAAAGGCAGAGCTTCAGGCACAAAGCAAGTCACTCAAAGAACAACTTGAAGAGGTTCGCAAGGAAAATCAACTTCTCAGAGACAGTGAGTTTCAGTATTAATAAAACATTGTCTATTTCATATTGAAGATTGTAGTGGCTCATGTTTCCATGTTGGTGATAGTCAAAAAGATTCTATCATATCCCATAATGCATGTGGCTTTGTCCCAGTATATACTGTTTGTGGAGCAATGAACCTAGAATTGTGAGATTTAGCAAAGAGCATTGTGGGATATAATGGTATCTCCCTGAACAGATGTGAAATAATGCCAGGTTAGTGTGTTATTTAATTTATTGATGTACTGGAATTGTCTTGGCACAATGTGTTTGTTCTCTAGCCACACATTTTTGGATGATGGGTTCACCTTAATGAACAATTATGATCCATTCCACATTGTTCTTCATATATGGTATTGTTTTATATTGTTCTTATTGATAAGAATATATTAATTGAGCACATATGGGTATTTCCACTATAGGAGCTATAAAGCCTGCTGTCGAATATGCTGCTCTCCAGGAAGAATTGAAAATTTTGGAGAATTCCAGGAAGCAGGAGCAGGATGAGTTTAAAATGAGAAGGGAACTATTGGAAAGGCAACTACAAACAGAGGTAAGTGTAACACTGCTTAATATTAGGGTTTCTGTAAGAAATAACTGTTCACATAATTTGACAAAATGCTGGAATAACACTTACTGCACAACGTGCAACTAAAATCATGTGCTCAGTGTATCTGTTAACTTCTAAATCCATTCAGATGGCAAGGACACCTGCTAAACTGGCTGAGGATTCCCCTTAAAGAATGAGTTGGAACCAGAGAGTGCGGTATGTCAGAATAATATAGTTCATTCCTTCAAAGCCAGCTCAGCATTTATCCTTCTGACATTTGTACACAATATGGAGTTGCATACTTGGCACCTCCTTATGGAAGTTACAGGATGAATTAAGTCATCACACTCATCCCAAGATGCAAATGAATAAAAATAACTCAGGAGAACTAAAAGACTATATTACAAATAATTATTTTTATAATATCATTCTTCTCAGTTACTATATTATTAGAATCAGTCTCATTAGGTTGCTACATAATACATAGATCCCTGAATGTACCTGAATCTAGTAAAGCTAACTGTTTTTTTCTTTCTGGTTAAAAAACATTTGATATTATTATTTTGGGTATTATTCACCTAAAACACTATTCGGGTTATTTACTTGAATGAGAATTGTTGGGCATTCATAGTAAATGTAGGATTTTAAAACAATTGCCAGTCAGCCATGCTTTTAGTTTGGCTATGGCTACTTTGACCTTAAATGTGAAATTCACTTTGAATTTCAGACAATTCACACTCTAGTAAATTACGCTAGTAAATTACGCTAGTAAAGCATTTTCTATGTTTCTGTCTATTAAGTGTTATTCTTCCTCTTTACAGCTCTTTTCATTGAAAAACTATTCCATATATATATGTCGGGGCATTATCAGAGCTAAAAAATTGTGAAAGGATGGTGTCTTTGGACCTCTGTCATTTTCAAATAAAAATATATATATAATAAGGTATCAATGTGTTATAGTAGATGTTTACAATGTTTTAAATGTTTTGTTTATTTCAACCCTAGGACGTTCCCTCTCAACTCGACTAATTAAAGGAATTATATGATGTTAAAAATGCATATGTATTTGTAACATCATAGTCTTTCAGGGCAGTTTTAGAAAAAGTGAAACTCTCCTTTCACCCATCATGGCAATGGTCTCCTCACGACAGTTGCCCCGCCTTCTGTGAAATCTTTATTAAGAAGCTTTCCTGCCCAATTTGTTGGGTCTTCAAAGAGAAGCATTGGATGCACAGCAGTCATCTCACTGTACCAATTGTATCCCTGCAATATAGGAGGATAATAATGATGCATGCTGAACTTGAAATTGTAAATTGAAATTGTAAAGGCTAGTAGAGGAATTTTGGGGGAAAAAAGTAAACAATGCCATTTGTCTAATCCAACTTTACATTGCTAAAAACACCAATACTACACATTAAGGTGTAGTGGTTTTGGTGATTAGAGATATAAGCTTTCCAGAAATAAAAGGTGATTTTGCTCACCTTTTTTCCTGTGCAGCGCTGCAACTGGCCCCGTCTCAGTGACTGAGATAATCAGTTTCGATGATCTCAGTCAATCCAATGCTTTCTCATAGGAGAACACTGGGAGGCTATTGCACATGCCCACAAAATGCCACACTGCACCAATCAGCATCTCCTAATAAAGATGCATTGAATTAATGTGTCTCTATGAGGAGCGTTTAGCACCTCCATGCGGAGCATGGAGATGCTGAATGCCAGCGCTGCACACTGTGCAGCACTGAACTAGGAAGCACCTATAGTGGCCATCTGAGTGAAAGCCTCTAGAGGTGTAACTAGGCACCAGTGTTCTCTGAAAAGACAGTGTTTACAGTGCCAAGGCTGCGGGGACAGGCCATAGACACCATAATCACTTCATTCAGCTGTAGTGCTTCTGGTGACTACAATGTCCCTTTAAACATTACAAAAAGAATAAAATTGTTGACTTATTAATATTGGTTTACTTGATTTTATTGAAGTCATGTACAATAAAGGCAATGCACAGCTCATTCATTGATGTCCACTTCATCCTATAAAAGTCTATTACTTGGCCTCTTACTGGAGCTAATGGTAGAAGCACTGTACATGCAAATCTCTGATGCTCCAAGACATACATGCAGTGCTTTCCTCATAAAAATAAATGGAACTTATATCCAGTCCTGGACAAATTTTGGTTTTCATCATGGAGCCATATAAATTGATAAGAAGCTAGTCATTGCTGTGAGCAATTCACCCCAAGGATATGTGGTCTTTCAAATATGGAATGACTGTGTTTTATGGAGCTGGATGAACGATACCATTAACATTTTTTTCCCCTACAGACATGGAGAAAAGTTTAGGGTTTAGGCTCTGCCAGAACATCTGCTTATATTGTTTGCTATTTCCTTTACCACACTGCTGTACAGGTTGAGCGGTGTACAGAACTAAAGATGCAGTTACTAGGCAGTGAGGATTCTTCAAGGCGATTAAATGCTGAAGTAGAACAGCTGGAATTTCAACTGCGGCATACACGACAAGGTTAGATTTATTTATTTTTTTCTTGTTATTTCATAAAATTTCTGTTCTGTTTCTGTTGGCCCATCTGTGAAATCATAAATAAACTAGATGTGTGTGTAATTAATTTGCTGAACCGGCTATGAATTAGAAATAATATATATATTATTAGGAATAATTCGAATTACTAAGAATTTGATAAACTACAAAATACCTATGTTAGACTCCACAAAATTACAAAAATATGTGGGTTAATAGTGCTGTTCAGTATTAATGCATCAACTGCTATACTTGAGAGTCTATTCTTGAGAGACAAAAAAAATAAGAATGCATTAGAATAATATCCATATCCAGAAAGTGGCAGATAAAGGGAAATAAACATATGGAGAAAAGCAGTTGTAAAGCCAACCACTTGTTCAATATAGCAAATTAAAGCAATGTGAAATATACCTTAAGCAATGTGCAGCTGAAATGTCACTTGATGTACTTGCAGTACAACTATACTTGAGAGACTTGTCTGTAACAAACAAATTCAGTTACCTGAATGCTTATTGATCCTTGTAGTGGGGTGGCTACACATTTGCAATTGTTTAATATATCAACTCACCAAAACCAATAAATGAATATACAGTGTATGTGAATTGAATACCTTACGCAGTCTACAAAGTCATTAGTAAATGGAAGGGAAACTATATGGAGTTCAGTATAACTTTAATGTATATCCATAACCGGTCCATTTTTTTTTTTTTATAACTCTCTGATCAGGACATTTTTAAGTAGGCTGGACACATAGATGCAGCTAGTATCACAATTGTACTCTAATATACATTGCTTTTAAATTGCTGCCTGGATAAATAAAGAAACAAAATACCCTGGCTCACATTTCATCAAACCACTCTGGATAACGTATTTGTGAATTGTGACGTGTCAAATTCAGTCCACTATAGTTATGTAAAATAAGAGTACAGGCATCAAAAAGTTTGTCAATTTATTAGTGGTATCACCAAAATAGATTTGTAACGTTTATGAAGATATTGATTATGCCCCTGCAGTCTCACTGCTCAGTTCTCTACCATTTAGGAGTTAAAGGGACTCTCCAGGCAGCAGTTTTAACTCACCTGGTTCCAGCGCCGGGAGCCTCGTGAAGCCATGCCCCCTATTTCGTCAAAATGACGAAATAGGCGGGCGCGAGCAGGAAGCAATCAGACGCTTACGTTTGGAAGCGTCATTGCTCCCTTGTGCGCATGTGTGGCTTAGCCGCACATGCGCACATACTTCAGAGGGCGGCATTCATGCCGCCCTCTGAAGTCCTGAGCGCACTACCGTGCATGCGCGCAGCCGCTAGCTGAGCTTACTGACAGCTCAGCTCGCGGTCTTTGCCCGCCCCTCTCCTCTGCTGACAGGCAAGAGAGAGAAGGTGCGCACACAGTGCCTTCTCTCTCCTGCACATGTCAGACGTATTTTAATACGTCTGACGTGTACAAGGCCTTTTTAGGGCCCTGCATGATAGGAAGTCCCTCTGGTGGCCGTCTGAGTGACGGCCACTGGAGGTATTCCTATCACTCAATGTAAACACTGTATTTTCTCTGTTTACATTAGATTGCCTGCAGGGAGCTATAGATCATACCTGAACAAATACATTAAGCTGTAGTTGTTCAGGTGACTATAGTGTCCCTTTAAATCACTTTGCTTATGCAGACCTAGCCACAGTCTCTGCGTGTGACTTACCCAGTCTCCCTACATATTTCCTGTAAAGAGAGATGCAATGTTTAATCTTCCTTTGTTGCACAATCTGTGTAATTTAGAATTTAGAATTTCCTGCTCTGTTGTGAGCCTATAGGAGTGTTCAGTGTTTGGTTAAATGTCAAATTAACAGAGTAAAAGATAGAAAAATGTCTCTGGTAAACACTCAGTGCAGTCACGTCTGATTGAAAATGAAACTATTTTTCCATGTTGGCTAAATTGCAGATAATTCAGCAGTGAGACTGCCGGGGCATGATCTATACACCAAAGCTGCTTAATGGAAGTAAAGTTATTTTGTGCTTAAAGTTTATTTAATTTATTTTTCTTAAAACAGATTGTTACGGTTGCGTTGTTATTTTTTTTTTTTTTTTTAAAACACTGTGGAAATATGAGCAGAATGACATTTGTAATAATGAACTAGTTATTGTCTTTATACTTTGCAGTTTCAGTTTTTACCTGTATAGAATGATTTGATTTTAGATTATGAAGATCTTTTCACTTTATGTCTGGTGTTGCTTTTGAGATCATTGCTTAGAAAAATATATATATATCAGTGTACTAAATGATTGTGTTTCTCAATAGTTTCTACTTGTGTGTTTCTATTTCACGTGCAGCTTTTGAAAAGGAAGTGTATCGCAACCCCAAACCATCTTTTGTCGATCGCTCTGTGCAAGGCTTCACAACAAGCAGGACGGGACCTCCATATATTTACATTGATAAAGATCCAATGAAAAGCCATCTAGTATTTAATGCCTTTGAAGCTGGTGGTACCTCTAATTCACATTATTGCTATGCCGCAAGAACTCGCAGCAGCTCTCCAGATTCAGATCTCGAGTTTGTAGCCAACACAAAGGCCAAAATCAAAGAGCTTGAAAAAGATGCAGAGTATTTGGAGGAGGCTTACCGTAACTACAAGGACAGACTCATATATGCGGCTGAGGTGGAAAGCATGACTCAGTCTAGTGCTCAACCAAGAAGAGGATTCTTAAATAATGTCTCTGCTGCATCTCATCAAAAGGTGAATTTTGTAGGTGACAACCTGACTCCTCAACAGCATATCCTTCTAAACAGACTGAAAATACAGAGGTGCGAAGAGTTAGTAACTACCGAGTGTGAGAGGACACCACTTGTTTCAAAGGTATCTTCTCGTCGACTGTCTTCAACGCCTAAAGCCAATGTTTTCCAAACAATAAACAAAAAAGAACATATTTCCTCAGAAGGTATTTATTTATTATACATATACCTATCTGCAAAATAAATGTCCAAATATATTGGCTAAATGACCTGGAACTGTGATTCTTTTTTTTTTCTTTCTAGTAACAGATCATGATGGTTCCTATATTTCATCATCTCATCACAGTCGCAATAAGCCGCTGTCTCCGATACCAAAGAATAGCCAGTTTCCTACACTGAATCAAGAGGTTGCTCTTCTTTGTCAAGAGACTGAAAAAAAGCTGGTTTCCCGGTAAATAAAATTAATAATTGTATGTATGTGTGTATATATATATATATATATATATATATATATATATATATATATATATTGCACAGTAAGAATGCTTTTAAAAATAGAAAACTTAATAGTTAAGTTTGAAAAGTTATTAAAATACAAAGTGAGTGAACAGAACCAAATCTAAATATATATATATGTGTGTGTGTGTGTGTGTGTAGGCAAAGTGTGTTGTGCTTTTAATATCATACTACTAAGTACACTTTCACAAAGTCAATGATTTTGTAGGCATACAAACAGGTGCATGATTAAACAATTGTACCAAACAAGTGGTAATGTAGATCAAAATACAATCATTGAGCGAACCAGAAACTGCTGTGTGGTAGGATAAAAACTGGGTGAGGAATAGTCAAACTGTGCTAACTAGGTGTTTTTGCTAAAAAATGTCTAATATCAAAAGTCATACACTATGGCAAGACATACAGTAGTTATAGTGCTAAATCAAGGCCTCTTCAAGGCAGTCAGGGTTTCCAGAAGTACTGCCAAAGCTCTTATGAAAAAGCACAAAGAGAAAGGCAATATTGAGGATTGTAGATGCAATGGTCGGCCAAGGACACTTAATGCAGCATGTGAAAGACACATTATACTTACTTTCCTTTGCAATCAGAAGATGTCCAACAGTGTCATCAGCTCAGAATTGGTAGAAACTAATTGGAACCTGGTACATCCTTCGACTGTATAGAGCCATCAGAAGTGGTCTTCATGGAAAGTTTGTGGTCAAAAAGGCTAAAGTCTGACCAGGAAACAAGGCATGGAGACTGAACAATGCATAAAAGTACTGGAATAGGAGTGCAGAGAAATGGCAGCAGGTGCTCTGGACTGATGAGTCAAATTTTGAAAGATTTGGCTGTAGCAGAAGACAGTTTAATTGATACGCTTTTATGAAGAAGTGGGTTTTTAATGATTTTTTTTGAAGGAGTGGAGACTGGGTGAGCATCTAACGGAGGAGGGAAGTGAGTTCCACAGGAACGGTGTAGCCCTCGCGAAGTCTTGAAGGCGTAAGTCTTCAGTAGAGCGTAAGGGCCTAGACGGGACATACTTGTATATTAGGGAGGATAGATAGGTGGGAGCAGCATTATGTAGATATTTGAAAGCAAGAACCAGAATTTTAAATTGAGCCCTATATCTTACAGGAAGCCAATGTAGGGACTGACAGATGGGTGAGGCGTGGGCAGGGCGAGTGGACAGGAAGATGAGCCTGGCCACCGCATTCATTATGGACTGTAACGGCGAGACTGGACTGTTGGGAGCACGTAAGACCACTGAGAAGTGGATTACAGTAGTCAAGGCGAGAAAGGACAGTGGAATGGACCAGCACCTTAGTCGCATCTGGCGTTAAGTAGGGTCGGATGCACACAATGTTTTTGAGTTGGAAGCGTCAGGATTTGGTGATAGACTGAACATGAGGCGTGAAGGAGAGGTCGGATTCAAAGAGAACACCTAGGCAGCGAGCCTGCGTGGTGGAGCTGATGATAGCACTGTTGACTTGGAGGGAGACAGACCCAGAAGTAGCAACTTTTGAGGGAGGAAAGACCAGAGTTTCAGTTTTGGTCAGGTTGAGTTTAAGGAAGTGGGCAGCCATCCAGTTAGAAATAGCAGAGAGGCAGTCAGAGACACTAGTCAAGAGACGGGGAGAGATCAGGTAGATTTGCGTGTTATCCACATAAAATATTGAAAGGCAAAGGAGCTAATGAGTTTACCAAGCGAGGCAGTATAGATGGAGAACAGTAGGGGACCGAAGAACTGAACCTTGGGGGACACCAACAGAGAGGAGTTGGGTAGAAGAAGCAGAGCCAGAGAAAGAAACACTGAAAGAGCGCTGGGAGAGGTAGGAGGAGCACCAGGAAAGAGCAATATATTGTAGACCGATATTGCGCAGGATGAGAAGCTGTTGATGATCAACAGTGTCAAAAGCCGCAGAAAGGTCAAGGAGAATTAGGATAGAATAGTGACCACGAGATTTTGCAGCGAGTAGATCATTGGATACTTTGGTCAGTGCCGATTCCACAGAGTGCTTAGCGTGGAAACCAGACTGAAGTGGGTCTAGCAGAGAATTGGACTTGAGGAAGTCTGTCAATTTCGCATATACAACTCTTTCAAGGATCTTGGATGCAAAAAGCAGTAGCAAGATAGAAATGTAGTTGGACGGGGAGTTAGGGTCAAGGTTGGGCTTCTTTAGAATTGGGGTTACAGTTGCATGTTTGAAGGGTTATGGAAATATGCCAGTGGAGAGAGAGAGATTGAGAATTTTAGTGAGAGGTAGAGAAGGAGACAGAGACAGAGTACGGATGAGATGCGTGGGAATTGGATCTAGGGAGCAGGTGGTGGGGCAGGAGGACTGGAGCAGAGCAGTAACCTCTTCCGCTGTAGCGGGTGCGAATGAACATAGAACAGCAGAGGGAGTGAGGTTAGGGGAAGTATTGTAAGGGGAACAAAAAAGATGAGAGATTGTAGAGATCTTGTCAGTGAAGTGAGTTGCAAAGTCTGAGACGGTCAAGTTAGTAGGTGGAGAGAGTTAAATGTGTGAAATAGTTGTTTGGGCTCGCAGGATAACATCAGGGTGTCATCTAAATGGCCTCAAATGTATTCTGCAACATGACAATGAACCTAAACATACAATCAGAGTAACTAAGAAATATTTTCAGCGTAAAGAAGAACAAGACTTGGAAGTGATGGTATTTCCCCCACAAAGCCTTGATCTCAACATTGAGTCTGTCTAGGATTACAATAAGAGATAGAAGCAACTGAGGCTGCCTAAATCCGCAGACGTACAGTTTTTATGTTTGTAACAACCTGTTTGCTGAGTTCCTTACAAAATTGTGTGTAAGTGTACCTAGAATAATTTATGCTGTTTTGTAGGCAAATGGTCGTCTCACCAAATATTGACTTTGTTTAGATTTTTCTACTATTCACTCACTTTGCATTTTTTTATTTTTTTATTAATTGATCAAAATGAACTAAATATAGAGAAGCTGACAGTTTTCTTTGCAGATGTGCAAGCAGTTGTATGGATTCTGTAGACCTCTTGCTGTTTGCTGATTGATATAAATAGAAATGTGTCCATGCATTTAGTGGAAACATACAACTGTCCTTTCCTTCTAATTGTTGGGGCAGTTTGTTTGTAAGTGGGTCTTGTAGTTTAAGAGATGTATAGCATGTAGCAGTATGTTATGCATTTATTAGTATTGTAAAAGTAGAGGAAAATATGGACAAATTAATATAAATCAGAGACAGCGAAAAATAATGTTTTCATGTTTAACAAGGTTTCATACTGCATCCTTTTTATTGGGTGTAATCCAGTAATAATGTCCTAATTACATTTCCAATCAAATTATTTATTTACTTAAAAAAAATAAACAAACCTGTTTTGTTTACCAACCAGACGGCATTTGTCCTCCACGGGTTTCTGAATTGAATCCATCAGTTATGACCAATTTGATGCAAAGCTGAAAGATGTATAATTATTGATTAGGGATTGACCTGTATTGAGACGATACCGATAATCTGTGAACTTTCAGGCCGATAGCTTACCGATATTCTGTACATTTACAATTTTGAAAAAAGAAACAATTTCTACATAAATCTACTGTTAACATGTTTATTTTTTTCGCAAATCTTTTTGTTAAGTGGTAAATGCACAAAATATACATGCCTGTCAGATTTTTTTTTTTTTTTTATGTATACAAGAATACTTAGTGTTCTTCTCTGTTCCCCTTACCTCCCTTTCCTGCCCTTAGTGTATTTCTCCCCTCCCTTCCCTGTCCCTTAGTGTTCGTGTACCTCTCCCTTCCCTGTCCCTTAGTGTTCCTCTCTCCTTGCCTCCCTTCCCTGTCACGTGCTCGACCACGCTACACTGAGTGACTGGTAGGGGGGAGTGCTGTGCGCTTCCTTCCTGCCGGTCACTCGATTGTTGCTTCCCCATAGCCGGTGTGCCCTAAGGTGGCTGGCCTCGCGTTTGCTGGGCCACCGCCGCCTCTCACATTATTGGAAATATCAATATCAATAGTGACCAATATTTGCCATAATCTGGAATATCGGCCGATGATATCGGCCAAATCGATAATCGGCCTACCCCTATTATTGATTATTATTATTAATATTATATATGAGATATATTTCAGAAGATGCAATAATACTATTTGTGAATCTTTTTTTTTTTTTTTAGTGACCATCACTCAGCTGTATCTGATCCACTCCAATCATCCATCCATTCTGAGTTGAAACAACTAAACTTTGATGACCTTATTCACTCAGATTCCTCTCTTCACGGTAAGCTTGCCTGCAAAATTCAGAGCTCCAATGTATTCCTGACCTTATAGTGTTAAAAACACTATCTAGTCCCCATGCCCTTCCTAAATATAGTAAAATCTCACCTTTATTCCAGTCTGCTGGTGCTGGCACTGTCCTTGATCTGCCTGCTTGGTTTGTCATAATCAGAAGTGGTGTTCAGAGCCAATCACAAGGCTTTCCCTTGGGAAAGCATTGAATTGGCTGATATTGTCAAGGAGGCAAATCAGGGTCAGAGTCAACACAAACCATCCACAGCGCTGGCCAATCCGCATCTCCTCATACAGATGCATTAAGTCAATTCATCTCTATGAGGAAAGTTCAGTGTCTCCATGCAGAGGGTGGAGACACTGAATGGCAGTGGAAGTGTAGCACTGCCCTAGGAATCACCTCTAGCAGCCATCCGAGGAATGGCCAGTGGAGTTGGCTGAAATGTAAACACTACCTTTTCACTGAAAACTCTGTGTGCAAAAAGCCTGAAGTGAATGATTATACTTACCAGAACAGATACAATAAGCCGTAGTTGTTCTGGTGACTATAATGTCCCTTTAATTTTTGTTTTTTTAAATGAAGCCAAATAATTGTTCAACTTCTCCTGGTTTTAAATGAAGCCAAATAATTGTTCAACTTCTCCTTTTTCACAAAACTGATTTCAAACAGACAATGGAAGTGAATACATTGCTTAAAGGGACACTCCAGGCACCCAGACCACTTCTGCCCATTGGAGTGGTCTGGGTGCCAACTCCCACTACCCTTAACCCTGCAAGGTAATTATTGCGGTTTTTATAAACTGCAATAATTACCTTGCAGGGTTAAGTCCTCCTCTAGTGGCTGTCTATCAGACAGCCACTAGAGGGACTTCCATGTTCTTAGAACACAAAGAGTTTTTTAAGCGACGCCGGACGTCCTCATGCTATGTGAGGACCTCCAGTGTTGCCAAAATCCCCATAGGAAAGCATTGAATAATGTGCACAGCCATTGCGGCGCATGCACACTAGGTCTCCCCTGCTGACGTCGGTGGGGGAGGAGAGTAGGCAGAGGCTGACCCAGTGCCGAGAGACATCACTGAAGAGGTTTTAACCCCCCCAGAAACTTGTGATGAGGGGTGGGAGGGAGAGGGCCACTGTAGAGTCTTGCAGTGCCAGGAAAACAAATATGTTTTCCTGGCACTAGAGAGTCCCTTTAATTTCTAGTTCTTAAAGGCCTGTTGAAAGTTCAGTAACTAGATCAACAAAACTTCCAGAATAGTGCTTAGAACTAGTTTGAGTTCACCATGCAGTCCCGTTGCGCAGCATAATACTTTGCTTAATACTACAAAATATTAATTTGCTAGCTACATTTGGGTTGGGGAAGATAACTGTGAGGATACAGAATATGGCAACCATGCCAATGATAATGGAAATATGGCAATATGGCTACTATAGTGTTGAAGTGGGACATTATAGCTCATGTTAATATGAGTGATAGAATATGGCTATGGATAGTTTGTCAAAAGGGAAATATGAGATTGCAACTTTGGAGAGGGTTCTTAGACATGGTGGACATATGGGGATGGACAAATATGGCTATGGATCTGGGATAGATGAAATATGAGATGTAGGTATGTGACTTGTAGATAAATGGGATATTATGGACTGGGATAGTACTGTCTTGGGAATGGAGACTATGACTATAGAAGATTATGCATTGGTAATGAGTGGTGTGGTTAGGACTGTGTATTGGGCCCCAGATGAAAAAAGACATAAGATTGGCACTTAGTCAAGGGAAGAGCACATAGGTGAAAATGGGCCACAGGTGGATGGGTGAGTTAAGGGAGGGGGACACGCGCCAGGGAAGAGACAAAGGTTAAAAAATATGAAAACAGGTTGCAGGTATATTTTAGCCTTTTTTTTTTTTTTACCATAATTTGATAATTTAATCTTGCCCAATTGCATAGAAAAATACATAAATAAATGTGTGTCTAGCATTGATGGTCTATTTATTGCTTTGGTGTTGTGTATATGCAGGCATGATCTGAATAAAAAACTTAGACTTGACTTCAACAGACATGAACACATTGTCTGAATCAGGTAAACAGAAACATATAATTTGACATATAACTTTCTCCGCGTGTGTTCTGCAATCCTATATGTTGGTTGTAATGAAAGAACTGTCAGTACATTGCACTGTGACCTCATCATGCACCTGGGAATGCAATGTACTGCAAATGCTTGACTTACAGCTGGTGTTTTCACCAGGACTAATCATGTAGTAACTTCCAGTTGTGTTTCACATACATACCCATCCTATATAATGGAGCACACTCTTTATTAAAAGTGAAAACAAATAATCATAAAATAAATTAATGTGCGTGTGCGCATATTAGATAGATAGAGAGAGAGATACATTTTGTTTTATTATTGTTGTTATTATTTCTGACATGAACCAGACAGCGATCTCTGCGGACAACTCACACGTTGTCACACTGACTTTTCTTCTATTGCATTTAAATAACTAAACTCTCTGCAAAGTCTATATTTTTATGATGGAAACTCTTTATATCACAAATATTTATTTTTGCTAATCTGCTTTCTCTAACACAACATCCAGCTATAAAGATAATACAATCTATAATCTGCAAATCCAGATTCATACTGACTGCTGACGTTGTCCAGAAAATCAGTTTTTTAATCTTGTCTAAGAGGCCTGTGTTATGTTACTGGTGATAAACACAAGTACTGTACTACTCTCTTGAGACCAAAAGGGGTCTCTGGATCTCAGTACAGTTTGATAGTAACCAGAAGCAATGAAATATTTCAGCACCTCTGTAATGTTCCAGTGTGCAGAGAGGGTTATTTAAGTGTGGGGTTATTTTCCCAATCTCATATCCCAACACACATGACAAACATCAATAAAGCAGTAATGGAAACCACAAAGTAATCCACATCATCTGTGGGTAATAACCTCTGCATTGTGTAAGCGTCGTGCTGGGATTTCATCGTGTTGTAAATTGCTTGGCAACATATGGAGTGCATTGAGACAGTTACATGATATTGAGTAATATGTCACATCCCACCTACAAGGATGCAGTTTTTCATGCCACAATACCCACCACTATTCTGTTATTTAATTTTGTGTTATCATGTAGTTACGTGTTCATGGGATTATTCACCAAACTACACATTGTGGAGAATTGAAAACTGAATTGCAATTTTTTGGCAGGTCTATTTGGAAAATTAGCTGGCTTTGAGTATTTTTCATTTTAGCCTAAAATATGCAAGTATATAGATAGCGAATACATTCCTGGTCTGCTAATAGGCTGCAGATTTGTAAATACACTCTTGCATGTGCGTGGTTTTTAAAATTTAAGTCCTGGCCTGCTGTAATGGTTATGGTACCAGACGTCTCCTGGTGCCTTCCCACAATTTGTAGTCAAACTGTTTTTGAGTGATTTGATATGTATCAGTGGCCTGCGGGCTGGCTCCCTCTTCTGCAATAGCTAAAGTATATGTTCCACTTCCTGAATAGATACATCAATTTTATTAATATTTATTGGTCGATAGTGTCATCTGACACTTACTATAGGATGATGTCAGGGGGTTCTTGTCAGCCTAACCACTACAGTACACTGTGTGTGACGGAGCTACTCTGAACGAGTAACTCCGCCAAGTCTGCCTTCTCGCTGCCATCAGAGACCCTGGAGCGCTTCAGACACAGTCACTGAAGCTTAACATGTGTCTCTTCCATCCTGGATCAGACTGCAGCTCTCTCCTTCCACGTAGGTTTCACCCCCTCTACCTTTAATATGATCACTTGCGGCTCTCAGGCCTTTGCACTTCTTCTGGGCCACTGGGACCATCTCAGCCAACAGGTATCTCCACAAATCCACACAGGATCTCATAGTTCCAAAAAGAACTAACATACTCAGCTTTATTTTTACTCGGGACAAGCCCATGTGCTTAGTACATCAAACTTACAGTGAAAACCATTTAAAATACAAATATATATATATATATATATATATATATATATATATATAATATTAGCAAGCTAGCAATTATAAGTAATTCATGAACTGTATTGGGATCGACCGATTATCAGTTTTACTGGTATTATCGTCCAATATTCTGTATTTTCGGCAATATAGGTATCGGCCAATAAAGATTACAAGCCCGGCGGTTCGGGGGGGGGGGTTTAGCAAGCTATTATTTTCCCAGCAGCTCCCTTCAGCTCCCTGTATAAATCTTGCAAGTCCCGCGGATGTCAGAGCGTTGCCACGGGTTACCATGGCAACACTCCGCGCAGCACGCTGGCCACGAGATTTAAACAAGGGAGCTGAAGGTAAGTTACAGCTTGCTGCGGGCCCCCACTGCTCAGTACATGCCACTGAACCACCAGAGAATGCCATAGTCTCCTCTCCCTGACCAGGTAACAAGCAGGGAGAGGGGCCAAAAAAAATAAAGAAAACATAAATATTAAAAATAAAATTAAAAAATGCCCCCCCCCCCCCATTTTACACAAATCCCTTCAGAAACAAACACACACTCTGCATTATATACACACACTCTGCATTATATACACACTCTACACAAACGCACACACACACTGCATTCATTATATACACACGCTATAAAAACACACACACTCTGCATTCATTATATACATACACTATACAAACACACTCTGCATTCATTAAATACACACTACAAAAACACACACACTGCATTCATTATATATACACACACACACTATACAAACACACACACTCTGCATTCATTATATACACACACTACACAAACACACTGCATTCACTTTATGCATACTACACAAACACACTGGATTCACTTTACGCACACTACACACACACTGCATTCACTTTACACACATCACACACTACATTCACTATACACACATTACACAAACACACTGCATTCACTTTATGCATACTACACAAACACACTGCATTCACTTTACGCACACTACACACACACTGCATTCACTTTACACACATCACACACTACATTCACTATACACACATTACACAAACACACACTCTGTATTCACTATATATACACTACACAAACACTCACTGCATTCATTATATACACACTACACAAATACACACTGCATCCACTACACAAACACACACAGCTCCCCTGTTTTAACACACTGCATCCACTACATGTGGCATGTATATTTTTTTCATTTAAGTTCACAGATTATTGGTATCTGCTCTAAAAAAATCAATATCGGTCGATCCCTAAACTTTATAGTACAAATAACATTTTTAAACACAAAAAAGGCATTAATATATGCATTTAGCCATGTGTTTGGTTGCCTTAAGTTGTATAAAAGCATTATGTAAATGTACACACTCAGCAGAGGGCACTGCAGAGTGGAGTAACAATGAATAGTTTGTTTTTCAATTGCTACCATCACAAGCCCCTTTTAGAGGACCAGGGACCAGGTCCATAGGCTGTTGGCAAGAGTAGTTCCTTCAAGCCTCTCCAAAATCTAGCTTATTTTATTCAGGATTTAGGAATATGTACCCACTGGGCTTAATATTTCTTCTATTTCTGAAGTGGTGACTATTCTTATGGTAAATAAAAGGAAGTTGGGTCTTCCATGTACTCATAACTACTAAATAACTAATAAAGTAAACCATATGCATAAAGACCCTTTTCATCTCCTGTTAAATGCCTTTGCTGTAGGCTTTAATTGTTCCATCTGCTTTTCACATTCTTTGATGTGAGTCTGTACAGTGTGTGAAGCCAGCCATTTCCAGGTCAGGCTGTTTGCCCAGTGCGCTTTGATATCTGAAATTTTGAGGACAGTATAACAGTCTCGCTCTATCTCCCCCCAGACCAGGAGGACATACCAGAGCAACACGAATGTGACATTTCCCATCCATCAGAGGGCTTGGCCCATAACAATCCTTTCATTGCCGATGTGCAAAGAACACCTTCTCCACAATTGGACTCCTGTAAGTTCAGAAAGCCTCCAAACCAACGGGATGTAAAAATGTTGAATTTTACTTTTTTTTCTGTGTATACATTTGTTTTACAGTATGACTAGCTGGACAAAAGTGGTAAGTGGTGTCCCTTAGGGTTCTGTTCTGGAACCACTTAACATATTTATAAATGATATTGAAATAATCTTCAAAAGTCATGTTTCAATATTTGCAGATGACACAAAACTCTGTAATACAATGTGAGCAGGATATTGCTTTGCTGCAGGGGGATTTAGATAGATTAGGGGAGTGGGCACTCCAATCACAGATGACAATTAATATAGAAAAAGGCAAAAGTTAAGTACTTTGGGGTAAAGAATGCACAAGTTACTTTCACCCTAAATGCTAGTGAAATAGGAATTATAACACGCAAGAAGGATTTTGAAATTGTTATAGACCACAAACTAGGCAACAATGTGCATTGTCAATTGCTAAGGCCGTAAGATATTGTCATGTATAAATAGTGGCATTAATTCTCAGGATTAAAATATAGTTTTGCCTCTTTATAAATTATTGATAAGACCACACCTTGAATATGCTGTGCAATTTTGGCCACCTGTTCTAATGAAGGATATCATGGCACTAGAAAAAGTGCAGAAGTGGGCTTCAAAACTGATAAAATTAATTAAACATTTTAGTTATGAAGAAAGGCTGACAAATTTAAATCTGTTTAGTTTAGAAAAACGGTGCCTCAGAGAGGATATGATTGCATTATACAAAAATAAATAAAACCCTTGTCTAGAAATCTATTCGTAAACTGGACTATGCACAGGACACAAGGTCACGCATTAAGACTGGAAGAAAGGAGATTTAGTCTAAGGCAAAGGAAAGGGTTTTTTACAATAAAAACAATAATGATGGGGAATTATCTGCTTGAACATGTGGTTTTATCAGAATCTGTACAGCTATTTGATGAATACGTGCAAAAATATAATATTCAGGGATATAATTTTTTTTAATTTGTGGGGTAATGGCTCCTTGATCCAAGGAGAGACCTGACTGCATTTCTGCGGTCACGAAATAATGTTTTTCCTAGTTTGTTGTAAAATTGAAAGCACTTCTTTTGCCTTCTTTTGGATCAACAGCAAAAACATATGTGAGAAAGGCTGAACTTGATTGACAGCATTCTGTGTCTGAGCCACTGTATTTTGTTTTTACCATTGTCATTACTAGTTATCTCTTATTGCCACTGCTAGCCATCTAACTTTCTCTAAATCATTAACATCTCACTTGAGTTTATCACAGTGAAATTATGGAACTAGTATTTTTTTTTATTTTCGAGCAGTTAATTTACTTACCTGTCAGACAGTTTTGCCTGATATAAATCTTTGCATCTTTCAATATCTCATGTATTGGATACTGTTTTTGGGCAGAGAGGCAATATATATTCTGAATAATATTCTGAAGCTGCATAATAAATCTCAAAGTGTCTTAGAGCCATTTCTCAATCACTTACATTTTTGCATGGTTCAGCTTAGTGTTTGGTCATCTACAGGGGCAAACTAAATCCCATTTATATCTTTTCAGCAACTAGTCAGCAGAAAAAACCCAAAATCTCAAATGAGCAGGATGACATAGAAGAAGAAATAAATACATATGACACCCAGAACAAATCTGGACGGCAGCTGGAAGAATATCATTCACTGGAGAATGAAGCTGAACCTAAAGAGGTAGGAACTTTTCTTTCATTGGTTTCTTTGAGAGGAACTTTATAATAAAGCAAAAAATAGAAATAATACCACTGTAAGTGGTCAAAGTCAACAAGAGGTTACATTGGCACAATATACAACCACCAGTGAGTGTCCAAGTCAAAACACTTGTGAAACCACACATCAGAGGGCGCTAGATAACCAGAAAAATGATCTCATATTTACCCATCCTGGTATAATGAATGTGGGATAGGGCTCAAGCCCAAAGAATGAGAAACTGAAAAGGAGAGAGATATAAGTTAAAAATACAAGCAATTTATTTGACAATAGTGAACAACAATAATAATAAAAAAAAAAAAACAGCACAGATGAGTCCATAGTAAGCACTAATGGTATAAAATGATGGAAAGAAAAACCCCTTCGGTCGCGACTCCTTGGGGTTAAATAATACTTATAAAGTGCTAAAACCAGAAAAAAAAAAGTAACTAAAAGTCACCAAACTCTGAAACTGCAGGGCATTGCTGGTAGTGCTCGACGCGTTTTGTCACGTGGTTGTCAGGACTTCCTCAAGAGCTGGAGTGTAGTGATGGGAGTCTCTCTCCGAATCTTCTTAAACGGCTACATCTACGCGCCCAATTTGTGAACGGGCGCGTGCTCATACGGACACATTCACTTCCTGGTAGTCGTGTACATAGACGTATCACCTGACGTCCTGTTACGCGACCCTGGAAGAGTCCGTCGCGCATGCGCTTCCACCGTGGAGCGCAAATCAACTTTATTGGCAACCACAACCCTGCCCCAAAATGGCATAAGTTCTTACAATTAAGGCAGCCATTTGTGGCAGAGGTATGTAACAAAGGATGCCAGATATACACGAGACCTTGGTATACTACAAAATAGAGATATGTGACATGTCATATTAAACACCAAAAAATATTTTTAAAAAAGGGGGAAAGAACAATCAATTGAAAAAGAGAGTAATTATCAATTTAGAGAAACGTGAAAAATTCATAAATTAAGGTGTATGCAAAAATTTATTTATGGTACACCTTACATTCTAGTATATTAAAAGAAATACAAATGTAAAAACCTCTAGTACGTTTAAGCTGAATTCACATAAAATGCATACGTGGAATGATTTAAAACCGGTGGCATGAATGTCGTCAAGGAATAAAATACATAATATACTTTAGGGTTATGTGGCGGAACAGGCCTCGCCACGTGTTCTTGGAGGGGGCTGCTTGCCCGCCTCCTACCTTCTGACTATGGCCCTGGGATATATGGCATTTGAAAACACTATTTGTGCCCTGTGACAAAACTGGAGATTGTGCACAAATATGACTATTGTCCATATTTTTTATGATTCCCTTCGTTTGTTGCACTGTTCTCCATATGTTTCATCTGTTGGTCTGGCTGGATAGACTGCCAGACAAACTGTGGAGTTACTGGGTGGCCACCATTTCATGTATCAGAGGCACATGGTGAGAACAATGGATGAAGCACATGGTGAGAACAATGGATAGCAGCCATTTTAACTCACTGTTTGGACTTTTCTACACGGTGCCATCTCGCCGCTATTTGGTGCACAAAGACATCGTGCAGTAGTTTTAAACTATACAACAGGGGACACATTATACAGTAATTATTTTTCATATAGCCTGTATATGTTCTGCGGAATCTGCATTAAACTGTATCTTCCAAACTACTGAACGGATCTGGGTGAATTTTGGATATGTGGTTCACCGAGATCCCCCTTTTACGAGGATATTTGTATGGGGTTATTGCATGTTTATAATAGTGTATTTCTCTGCCTGTGATAATTATATTAACCATTGTGTTCAGTAATCATATCACAGGCAGAGGGGAGGATTTTGTGTGGGAGTGTCTGTGTGTATTGTACGGATTGATTGGTTGTATTTCAAAACCCTGTGTGCAGTACTGTGTTTGTGGATTGTGAATAAAAGAGGCTGTATGTGCCAGTACAGTCAGTTCTGCTTGACCTCAAAACGAAGTGTCGTCTCGTTATTGTGGGAATTGGATTGTATGCTGATTGCCAGGAGTGTAAGCTGATTGAATGCTTTTCCTGTTCAGCTGCTTAGAGCATTCGTATGCTTCTCCGGTTCGGTGGTTGTGGTGTCTGCTGCAGTGCTTGGAGTCCTCAGGAAGCGCTAGGAGCATCCTTCAACGGAGGTACCCAGTCGGGGTGCCAGGTGATCTGTTATAGGTTATAAGAAAAATGATACAGATAAAAACATTTTTATTAATTTTTTTTTTTTTTAAATGGGAAAGGTCGCACCCAATGCGTTTTTGACCTACAGTTCCTTAGATATAGGACTCCTAAGTCTAAGGATATGTAGGTCTGAAACGCATTTTGTGTTTAGTGTGACCTTTTGTTACTTTTTGTTTTGTGCCTATTAAACCTCCTGTGGATTTTGAACGTTTGCAGTAGCACTATTTCTGCTTATTAGTTTTATGATAGGATTTGGTTTCTACACCTGGTGACCTGACATCCACTCGGATAAGTGGAAACGTTGCGTTCCCGTTACCTTTATGTGTTTTTTTTTTTTTTTTATGCTTAGAGATTTATGCTAGATTCATTTTGGAATTTTGCTGCACCGGTTCAAATTTTTTTTCAAACTTTGTAAAGAAGACATAAAATTCCTGGCCATACATTTCATTTACATATGTTAATTAATCTAAAAACTGCAATGACATGTATCTTTATAGGGTATAGCTTTGCTGAAAAAGGTAATTGCAGAGTATGTGTAAAAAAAAATTATTATTTTCATTATATTGAATAAATAACGCAGCATATGGAACTATTGCATATGGAGAACCTGCTTTATACAGCAATGTTATATATTTTATAAAATCAGGTAAACCTACCAATCACCTATTGTTAAAATCTACTTTTAATTCAAGAAAACATCACATAACACTATTTTATCTAGCTATTTATGTTGTGATTTGTATATTATTGGCACTATATAAATGATAATAATAATATTTCCTTTTCCTTCTAAGAAATTGATGACCGAGTCCAAAATATCTGAAACAGAAAGAGAAATAGATGAGGATCATCTAAGACTGAGGGAACCTGAAGATGCAGGTTCTTCAGCTAAAGTTGGTGTGAGTCCCATGGACAAGTACATGCAAATGCTTGCCCAGAACCGAGCCGAGGAGCAGACTGAGAAGGTAGGATGGCATTCCGTAACGTAGACCCTGAATGGAGCTTGTCTTGTCTTGCGGAAGCTGTTTAGTAATATAGTCTTTGTGCATCTTCCTTGGAACAATCCTCTTCTATGCTTTCTTCCCCTTTTAGCAGTACTGCTGACTTATAGTGTGTCTATTTTCTTGGAAGATGAGGCAGCGGTTTAACTTTAGCAACAAAATGAATCATTCTGGAAAAATAAGTACTATAAACCTTGCTTTGTCTGGAACAGTGTGAACTATCTGCTTTTTTTTTTAAATCTTTTATGAAAATGTAGTACACAAATATGAGGGTTTTTTAATCTTTAATCACAGGTCAAAAATGATATGCTATTTTTAACCCTATTAAAATATTTTTTTACTCCAAACATATTTTATTTTTATTTTTTTTAGTTTTTTGTGTGGTGATTATTAATATTATTATTGTTTATTATTATTTATAAAGCGCCAACAAATTATAGAATAATTGCATTTAAAGATAGATCAGTACCAAAATAATCTGATCTCATCTAAATTTGGTAGGTTATAATTTTAATTTCTAAAATAGGAAAGACAACAGATGATTCCACCGTCCGCTACCATCTGGAGCTTAGAATCATTGTCTCACGCCTTTAAAGGAAAAATAGTTAGTTTTGGTCCATAAGCCCACCTTTTACACCCTTATCACCGAACTGTAGTGTTTCTGGAGGTATAATTCAGCTGTTAGTTTTCCACAATAGAAAGCATACAACTGAACTACAATTCTCCCTTTACTATGCCCATAAAGCACTACTAATGGAGTAAGCTCAACTAGAGCTTTAAGTGAGTGACCTGCTGTGGTGAGAGTTTACAGCAGACGCTGCAAAGCTTGGGGACTTACATGCAAGGGCTTCAAATCTTTTATCTACACTGCTCAAAAAAATAAAGGGAACACTTAAACAACACAATGTAACTCCAAGTCAATCACACTTCTGTGAAATCAAACTGTCCACTTAGGAAGCAAGACTGAGTGACAATCAATTTCACATGCTGTTGTGCAAATGGGATAGACAACAGGTGGAAATTATAGGCAATTAGCAAGACACCCCCAATAAAGGATTGGTTCTGCAGGTGGTGACCACAGACCACTTCTCAGTTCCTATGCTTCCTGGCTGATGTTTTGGTCACTTTTGAATGCTGGCGGTGCTTTCACCAGTGGAAGCATGAGACGGAATCTACAACCCACACAAGTGGCTCAGGTAGTGCAGCTCATCCAGGATGGCACATCAATGCGAGCTGTGGCAAGAAGGTTTGCTGTTTCTGTCACCGTAGTGTCCAGAGCATGTAGGCGCTACCAGGAGACAGGCCAGTACATCAGGAAAGGTGGAGAAGGCCGTAGGAGGGCAACAACCCAGCAGCAGGACCGCTACCTCTGCCTTTGTGCAAGGAGAAACAGGAGGAGCACTGCCAGAGCCCTGAAAATTGACCTCCAGCAGGCCACAAATGTTCATGTGTCTGCTCAAACAGTCAGAAACAGACTCCATGAGGGTGGTATGCGGGCCCGACGTCCACAGGTGGGGGTTGTGCTTACAGCCCAACACCGTGCAGGATGTTTGGCATTTACCAGAGAACACCAAGATTGGCAAATTCGCCACTGGCGCCCTGTGCTCTTCACAGATGAAAGCAGGTACACACTGAGCACATGTGACAGACGTGACAGAGTCTGGAGACGCCGTGAATAACGTTCTGCTGCCTGCAACATCCTCCAGCATGACCGGTTTGGCAGTGGGTCAGTAATGGTGTGGGGTGGCATTTCTTTGGGGGGCCGCACAGCCCTCCATGTGGTAGCCTGACTGCCATTAGGTACCGAGATGAGATCCTCAGACCCCTTGTGAGACCATATGCTGGTGCGGTTGGCCCTGGGTTCCTCCTAATGCAAGACAATGCTAGACCTCATGTTGCTGGAGTGTGTCAGCAGTTCCTGCAAGACGAAGGCATTGAAGCTATGGACTGGCCCGCCCGTTCCCCAGACCTGAATCCAGTTGAGCACATCGGGGACATCATGTCTCGCTCCATCCACCAACGTCACGTTGCACCACAGACTGTCCAGGAGTTGGCAGATGCTTTAGTCCAGGTCTGGGAGGAGATCCCTCAGGAGACCATCCGCCACCTCATCAGGAACATGAACAGGCGTTGTAGAGATATCATACAGGCACGTGGAGGCCACACACACTACTGAGCCTCATTTTGACTTGTTTTAAGGACAGTACATCAAAGTTGGATCAGCCTGTAGTGTGTTTTTCCACTTTAATTTTGAGTGTGACTCCAAATCCAGACCTCCATGGGTTGAAAAATTTTAATTTCTATTTTTTAATTTTTGTGTGATTTTTGTTGTCTGCACGTTCAACTATGTAAAGAACAAAGTATGAAATATTGAATTCATTCAGATCTAGGATGCGTTATTTTTGTGTTCCCTTTATTTTTTTGAGCAGTGTATATAATACATTAAAAAAAGAATGTGTCCTTTTCAGCCGGGAATGCACTGTTAAAAGTTACACTGTACCCCAGACTCCTAAAGCTTGCTGAAGTGATTTATGTGTGAAGAGTGCATCCTTTTTTCTAATTTGACAGAAATTGCTGATATAAATTTGAGAGTACCTGCTTCCTCCTCTAAGCCTGAGTTAGGAGAGGTAGGAAGGATTGCAAAGGCTTCAAAAAATAAATCTGTAATGAAAAATGCATGGTTTAATGTGGGTATAACTACTAAACAGTGACTTATTATGACTGGAAGAGCATGATGGAAAATGTAGTTTACAACATCTGGCGTGCCAAAGGTTGCCTACCCCTGGTTTAGAAGACGTTAAATATCAGACTCTTTTTAGCTCATCCTCTTGCTGGTTAATGCTGAATAACAGCCTCCCACATAGCAGAATTACATACAGATCCAGACTCATGATTTCCAGTGGGCGGTTTTCTCTGCAGAGCAGTCACATGCACAATATATATTTGCAGTTGTGTGGGAGCACATCATTAATGCTCATCATTGTAAGCTCATCTCTTTCAATTTTATTTTATCTCAAATTTATATTTTCAGAAACTACTACTACTGTCATTGCCCCTCTCCAAGTGCTACAATATTGCAGACATGTCACATTTCTACATTAAAGGAGACCAGTCATATGTGTATTTTACAACTGTAGGCAAAATACAGTTCCATTATATGAGGGAACATACTTTAATTCCAGTGAAAAACATTTGCTTATGCTTACTTCAAATTACTGATGCCACTAATGAACAGAAGAAGGGAAACAAGCCAAACTATGCTTTATAGGTTATCAGTGCTGTATCTATCGCGAGGCTAAAGAGACATTTGCTTGGGGGGCACTTTCCAAGGGGGCCCAGGCAACTTTAGGAAAGGCCTTGTTAGCCTTGTGTCATGGTGGGCTCAAGAGCTGGTCACCTTAGAGGCCCTCCCCATCCTCCCACGTTGGAGGCTGTATGCAATGTAGACATTGGCAAGGGAGCTGTGATCTTCTTGCACTGAGGGATCAGAGAAACCCCACACTGGACCAAATCCACTCTAGCTCTCCCAAAGGTAGGGAGGCTGGACTTAATTAAAATAAAATAACAATAATGTGTGTGTATGAGAAAGTGTCTGTGTGTGTCTGTGAGTGAGTGAGTGTGCTAGTGAAAGTGTGTGTCTGTCATTGAGTGTGTATGACTCAGTGAATGTGTCAAAACAGTGTGTGTCAGTTTATATGTATCTGAGAGTGTGTCTGTCAGTGAAAGTGTATGTTGGTTAAACTATGTGAGTGCCAATGACTGTGTGTCTATTTTAAGAGAACGAGGTAGTGCACACACTGTTGGAGGATACTCCCACTAGGGTGCCTCTAAACAGGGAAGGCCAATTTCCAAGTCAACTCAATCTTCAAAATACACATCTGGGCACACCCGTGGTTTCCTCATAAGGCAGTCTTTATTGAAGGAGCATAGAAAGCAGACAACGTTTCGGCACTCTTGTGTGCCATTGTCAAGTCTAGACATGTCGTCGTTTAGTCATTGTCCCAGAATAGCTTCATTAATAGTTTTTTTAATTGAATTAAGCTAGTTACAGACATATTTGAGCAGCTGCAGTAGACTTTAAGTGAGTGACCTGCTTTGGTGAGAGCTCACAGCAGAAGCTGCAAAGCTTGAGTAATTAAATGCAAGGACCTTAAATCTTTTTATCTATATAGTACATTGGAACTTTTATAAATCAACCTTGTTACACCCCCGACTGTCAATCATAACCGGTCCTGTTACTTACTGGTCTGTTTAGCACGGAGCCTGGTTTGGTTAGCTATTCAAAAGTGCTAGAAGGGTTTATGAAACGCAGAGGGGATAGTTTGACGTGTCTGTCTTCAGATAACTAGTAGGGGGCTTATAGCAGCAGAAATAATTGTACATATCTGCTGCTATAAGAAATAGACTTCATAGATGGGGGCTTCATTCACCATAACCTATTTTATTTCAGAACTGACTCCTAACTGTAGTGAACTGAAAACAAAATCTCACACAAAAAGTGCAGATTTGTTAAAAGTCTCCTACCTGGCTAAAGTAACAGCTTTGCTAATTTAGCCTCAATTTTGCAAGTCAGTTTTCCGTTTACTATAAATACATGTTTAATAAATAATCCCTCTTGAGTATGTAGCACAAATGTAAAAGAACATTTTGATCCTAAAGAGATCACGTTCGAAGTACTGTATGATATTAGTAAGGAACTCATAGGTAGCCATTTTGTTAGAGAACGTTCTAGAAACATCTTTTGTGGCAGATGTTGCAACAATGTCTCAAATAGGCCTCTACTATCAATGTTTTTGTACTTGTCGCTGGATAATTGCTGTTTTTCTTCAATCGTCATCGTGCCACATTTCCAAGTGTACTTAACACAGGACATTGACCTTAATTGTGAAGAACGTTTAATTTGCTGCATGCTAAACAATTCTGATGTAGTTTGTGCTTCAAGGCAATGTTCTGTGATAATGTGAATTCCCACAATTCTTTGAACTTCTGTAAATGAGTTTGTGTAAATTGTTGTAGAATTTAGTTTTATCTACATATATAGCTTGTGTTTTCAATGTCATAAAATTCAAAGAGCAGTGCGGTTTTTCTTCTGACCAAAAAAGATTTCATTGTTCATTGGAAAACAAAGGATATTTAGAATACATTTTTCCAACAAACCTCTAAACTTGAGCAATACACATGGAAACCAGTATCATGTTCTTGTTCTGATTAATCAGCATTGCAAACTTTATTATAATTTCACTATTTTTTTCCCCTTGTAAACTCTTTTTGCTTTTCCCTTAAAATGAATTTGAAGTACTATTTTAGGGACTGTAGATCGTTTTATAGTGATCCGACACATGGTTTGTTCAACTGTAGAACTATAAATTCTGATATTCTTGATACATGCATTACAACAATTAATGAGTACTTTGAAGTTATATAATATTTTTCCTGCATGATTTTTGCTTCCAGTTTGGTGATTTGAAATTTGCATTCTGACGCATTTTAATTTGTAACCGTCTGTGTTTTAACTCAAACACTATCTCTCACTTTCCATCATATGTTAAAAATGATACCAATTTTTCTTGGTTTTGTTGTGGTTTTTAGGTTAATAAAGAATCCCTGGAGGAGCTTTCAGTGGTTGAAAAACTATCTAATGACAGGTAAGTCATAGAAAAAGAAGGGAGGGAAAAAAATCTATATTTTTCAGTAAGCTTTAATGGAATCTTTCAGAACACGTAAAAAAAGGAAAAGGACTAATTTTGGTGAACAATTTGTTTAAAGGCGGACTATAGGGTCAGGAACACAAACATGTATTCCTGACCCTATAGTGTTAAAACCACCATTTAGCCACCCTGGTCCCCTCATGCCTCCCTACATATAGTAAAATCGTACTTGTGTTCAAGTCTGCAGCTGCCTACTTTGTCCCTGTTTCCTTTAGATCTGCCCATTGCCTGCTAACATCATCAGACGTGGTGGCCTGATCCAATCACAATGCTTCCCGATAGGATTGGCTGAGACCGACAAGGAGGCAGATCAGGGGCAGAGCCAGCATGATTCAAACACAGCCCTGGCCAATCAGCATCTCCTCATAGAGATGAATTGAATCAATGAATCTCTATGAGGAAAGTTCAGTGTCTGCATGCAGAGGGAGGAGACACTGAATGTTTGGATGCATTTTAGGCAGCCATGACCCAGGAAGGATCTCTAACAGCCATCTGAGGAGTGGCCAGTGAAGTTATCACTAGGCTGTAATGTAAACACTGCATTTTCTCTGAAAAGACAGTGTTTACAGCAAAAAGCCTGAAGGTGACTAATGATTCTACACACCAGAACAAATACAATAAGCTGTAGTTGTTCTGGTGACTATAGTGTCCATTTAACTTTGTTTGGAACACACAGTCTGTCAGTTCTTTTGAGGCTTTATGTTTTGGTATTTCTGCATTGCTTGGGACTTTCCAGATTGGTTTGTGATCTCAACACCAACTTTAAATTAGTAATTGTTACTATGCTATTATATTCTCCTGCTGCTAATTTGCCAGGCTTTGCAGTGAGTTTTATCAAAGCATAAAGTTACTCAGCCATTCATACTGGAAAAGTTGTCTTAGTGAGCACAGTAAAGGTTTCTGGGAGTGGCAGTTCTATTGTCCGCATTATACATTAGAAAGCTGCATAAGAAATGACATCACACACAACAGTGTTTTTGGAGCAAAATGTGAAATGCTGCAGTAAATTATGTGAAAGCAGAAAAAATAGGGTTATGGAACAAAATTATAATTTTAAAATACCTACATTTACTGTAATCAATACATTGCTCCTACTGAAGTGCCCCTTAATATCACACTAAGATTTTTGTGTGAAAACATTGTAATACTACTACTCCAATGACAGTGTTTAACTGTATTAAATATTCTCAGACGGATTACCTGTTAATTATTTGCTGCTGTTCGTTTTTTGTTTTCTTTTCATAGACCTAGCCCTTATGTTGTTTATTTCAATGGTGGTGTCTAGCGTGAAAAGAGAAGGGCGATATACTTAAAGGGAAACTATAGTGTTTGTTTTCCTGGCACTATAGTTCCTTATAGTGCCCCCTACGTCACCTGCTAATTATTGCAGTTTATTAAAAACTGCAATAATTAGCTTTGCAGTATTAAGGGATTTAGGACTATGCACCCAGACCACTTCAATTAACTGAAGTGGTCTGGGTGCCTAAAGGTTCCCTTTAACTGATGATCTCCATCCTTGGAAATCTATTGTGTAATGTATGTAAAGGTCCCTTTACCACAACAATCCTGAGTGACCGCTGATAGATAGTGGCAAGGTTATCAAACCTCTGCATTTTGTACGAGATAGATTAAAGCAAAAGAAAATGTATATGTAAGAGAAAAGTACTGCATTTAGATTTTTAAATTTCCAACGCAGTGCGTGTAAAATACAGGCTAATTACAGCAGCCCTGTAATGGCAATTTTCAGAAAGTTTTTAAACAAGATAGCATTGCAAATACATCCACAAAGTACGGATTGTAGTCAAGTGCAAAGTAACAGGAGTGGTATCACAATAAATGAGATTTAAAGAGTAGATCACACCCTCTCCCCAAAATAGGGATTCATTTTTTTCCCTGTATTCCACAATCGCTCTCTGTTCCTATGGGTGCTCTTTAGCATGTTAAGAAAGAGCAGCATTGTGAGATTGTGTTATGCAATGTTATGCCTATTAAAATTGTTTATTTTTTTTATTTAGCATAACGGCTCTGTCTCATGAAGAAGCAGATGATGACTTCTGGTAAACATTCACTTCCTCCTTACAAGATAAAATCCAAGTGCTTTGAATTGTGAGACTAATATGTGTTACAAGAAAAGATTTTATTGGATATGGAAGCTTTCAGAGACTGTCATCAACAAACTCCATGTCGTGTGTTTTAACCACTTATTTGTTTTCATTTTTATTCTTCGGTGTACAACTTTTCCCATTAAAAGGATCAAACATACATGGGTTTTCTTTCTAAAATAATTCTGGTTTGACTGAAAACCTACGACGTATATTCTGGAAAATGGCAGATTTTAGAATGAATGAAAACATGGGTTAAATCAGGTCTTAATAGATTTGTTTTACGCTGTCTGAGAAATACACCAGTTTTTCTGAAATTTATAGAATCCAGTAAGACTGATAGTTGGACTCAGTGCAGTGGCGGATCCAGAGCCTGACCTCGGGAGGGGCACTTGCAGATTATTTAGAGAAATAATTCAGACACAATACATACTACAGCTCAGTGTAGTGGCTATGGTTCCAGTAGTGCCGGGACCCCCTCCCAGACGAAGTAGTCAAACCGTTTAAGAACAGTTTGACAACTTACCTGAGGTCTGCTTGGAAATGGGGCTGTAGTAGGGCATAGGAGCAGGGGTGCAGTGTGTGTTTGTGTAAGAAGGACTGTGTGAGCAGTGTGTACGTAAGGACGGAAGTGTGTGTGTGTGTGTGCGCGTTGCAGTGTGAGTGGGGGGCAATGTGTGTGTGGAGGGCCAATGTGTGTGTAGAGTGTGTGTATTGGGGGCAGTGTATGTGGGAAGTGTATGTGTGTGGGAGCAGTAGTGTATGGGGCAATGTGTGTGGGGGTAATCTATGTATGTGGGGGGCAATGTGTATGTATGGGGGCAATCTATGTATGTGGGGAGCAATGTGTGTATGTATGTATGTATGTGGGGCAATGTGTGTGTGTGGGGGCAGTGTGTGATAAGGATGGGGGGCTTTTTTTAGTTTGTTTTTTTTTTAAATTTGATAAAATGATTTATTTTTTTCTATTTAAAATATACATAATGTCCCCCCTCCCTTCTTACCTTTGTTTAGGGAGGAGGGGGGACATTTCTCGATCCCTGGTGGTCCATGTGGTGAGAGTGAACTCTAGCCCCGGTCTCCAGTTCACTCTCGCAAGATCCGGAGTGTTGCTCGCGAGATAAGGACCTGGAGGAGCTGCAGACTGAGGTCCCCCGGGTCCTCTCTTTCTCCCTCCTCTGCCGGCGGCCAGCAAACTTTTAATGAAAAGGAGCCGCACGTGAAAACGTTTAACACAATTTATGATTGTCATTGTGTGTTTATTTAAATTTATTAAAAAGGGTGTCATTCCCAGAGAAGGATTCCATATATAGAGACAGAAAAATGCCTTTTCCAAGTTAAAGGAACATAGTTTAGTTATAATGGTAATGTGTAGAACATCTATCTGCAGTGTCTACTCAGACATGTTAATTTCACATTTCTTTCATGTGTTAATTATAGCTACTGCAAATGAAAGAACAGATAAGAATGAAAATAGAAAGAAACCACTGATCAGCCTTGAGTAATTAGTGAATGTTTGTCTGTTGCAATCCATGCAGGATCAGCACCGTATTGTGACATTTAGCACTGCTTTTGGTCTATATACCCCAAGTATTTGATTCTATAGGAAGTAGAAACCGTGTTTTACAATCTTGTTAGACCAGTATCCCTACTACCTCTCTCCCATTGCCTAAGTGGGTCTTTGATTTTTTTTATGCACTATGCATTGCTGCAGAATATTACATTTGTATAAAAGATAACACGCTGAAATTTTTTAATCATCACAAACATTAGATTTTTATCTACAAATATTTATTATAACACTTGGATATAACTACAGGAAGCCCTTGGCACTGATAGAAAATATTGATTCACTGTTAGGTTACAAAAATTTATACATAGCAAAATTTAATTTTTTATTTTTTTTTAAACATAAAAATAGTTCACTAAACAAAATAAAAAAAAACTCCCAGCAACTACACAGAATAGAAAAAGGAAAAAGAAAAATGGGACACTGCCTTCATTATTCATACAGGAGAAGATGGGGCTAAAACAATCACCTGCATTGCAGTAGAATTAGTTTTGAAGTTTCCCATGCATTGGCTTAACATTACATTTTCTCTACATACAATAACATTTCTCATTTTTAATTTGTCACAATTGCCTGTTTTAGGCTTGTAACCAAACAAAATACCTGAACACTGCTTGTTCACAATTCAACAATAAGGAATATTTCTAAATAGTCAAGTAGACTGGGCATTTTTTTTTTCTGTATTTTTTTTATATTTTGTAACATGTACCGCCTACATTATCACATTTTTTTTTCCAGTTTTCAAATTTTTTTTAAATATATTTTTAATCATATTTTGTTTAAGTGCAACTGTATAACACTCACAATTGACCACAGAATAATAATGAAGTGACTTACAGCAACAATGTAATACTATAAAGCATCAGTGCACCAATGTTAAAAGGTGTTGCCCCATAATTTGATTTACAAGAAAACAATCTAAACTATGTGTCTTGGAAGGAGATAAAACAAAAGTTTATGATCTAGAAATATTAGGTTCTCCCAACTCAGATTCAGGATTTTGTTTTTAATGCTCAGGAAATGGATGTCTACACATATTTTAGTTCAAATACACATTTTTTTTTTTTTTTTTTAATACAAGTTTCTGCTTTTTATTTCATTCCACTTTAAACTTTTATGTAATCATATGGATGCGAAAGACTGCTACAACAACCGAACAATTCATTCTTCCACAAACTGAGCATTCACCTACATTCTACTCATTCCATCCAGTTAAGACTTTTTATAAATTGATGCCTTTTAAAATGCCTGAGATCAAATACAAAAAAAGGAAGTAAGTTGTGAATATTGTGTTACTCACTGGGTTTTTTTCCTTTCTAATTGTACAGAATTACGTCCAATAGGAACGTTATATTTATTTATATTCTTACACTTCTGCATTAGCTGACCAATAATAAGGGCTACTGGTTCTTCTGTGATGTTACTCGGATAATCGTATTATGTGTAAGAATTGAGCTGTTCTTTAGACCGTGACTGGATGTCTTGAAGCTCCTGTTCTTCCTTTGTCTTAATGTCGTGGTAGACCTGCATTTTGCTGGCATCCTTTAAGTAGGCCCAGTTAGCAGACAGAATCATGAGGAAATGGATCTGCAAGAGAAGGGTGAGCATTGTGGCTAGTGAGCAGGTCAAGGAGGTAAAGCAAGCAGCTTGTTAATGTTTTAGAAGTATTTAAATTTAATAAATAAAATAAAAAAAGGGAGGAAAAACTAGAGTTAACGTGTGACCTCTAATAAAATAAAATAAAAAACATGCACCTTCCTAGTTTACGGATTTGCAAAAGGAGTTAGTAAGCCGGGATTAAAATTAACAGAAAATCAATACTAAATTCTGCTTATGTATTTCTTTGAATGCTCATGGTACTCAATTCAAAAATGAACCAGCAAGTTTGGTTTTCATTGCTTTTTTTTATCGTTTGGTTTCCTTTGTGTAGGACAGGTTTCTAGTTTCATTACTGTATGGATTAAACATGAAATATAAATTATACAAAATGTGCTAGATTAAAAAATAGAATTATTGTTCTCGGTTAAATAAAAAAACAGAGAGTGCTACAGTTCTTAGTATACAGTACAGGCATCTAGGTTGACCTGTAGAGATGAAATTAAGATTTTCTTACAAACACAAGCATGCAAGTCCACAAATTTAGTCTTTTATTGTCCTTTTTATTCATCTACAAAAATAGGTTATAAAAGAATAAATCCATCACGAGTGCTCATATGCACCTCGAAATGGAGTCAAAAAGCCCCATATCCAGTGATTATTTCAAATCGCTTTCCCACTTTTTAGTGATCAACGTTAAGGAGCCAGTGATCTCTCATCTTATTTGACAACATCTCCCAGTTGCATGCAGTCAGCTATAAGATCAGCTAAGGCTGATCAGGAGTCAAGGTTAAGAGAAACAGGTTGTCCGACCCCTAATCAGTGACATGGCAATAAATCACATACCTCCTGATCCAATAAATGCCCAGTTGCAACTAATTCTTCTAAATGTATAGGATTTCTTTCTAGGGCCTGTTAGCTATACATGTTTTTTTGAGATCTGGCTTTCTAATTATTGATTAGTTACAAATTTACCTGTACAAGTGCAAAGTTATAAAATAAAACAAAAATCGCTCACAACTTCAGAAAAAGCCATTTGGAAGCAGTGAAGAACCAAACAAATTACATGGTTAGTAATTATTTTTTTGGCAATGAGAATAGTCCACACTACTATTTCAACATTTTTCATCTTACGGTAAACTTGAAAGCACTATTAATACATTTGTCACACTGCACTTTATAGACAATAACTTGAAAAAGGCACATACATTATAGTCATAGGTATATTGTGGGGGGTGGGGCAATGAAGGGCCAAAAGGCAAAAAATATCTATTGAACTGTTCTTAAAGTCACATAATATAGCCAGATCTCACTGTAATATTCACATACAAAATTGGTTAATTACTCCTTTTCAAGGCTAAATGATGCTTGCTATTTACATAAACCAAACAGAATAGTCATATAAACTCCTAAATGCTAGACTGAGTTTTTAGTCCAGAGGGTCAGTGGCAGATGAATCTATAACAACGCAGTCTCTCTAATGATTTGGCTAGGGCAGTTTAGAATTTAGTGCAGCAATCTTCCCGACTCTTAAACTTCAAAACGGCATAGTTATATGTAGTTGCCATCATGTAGATCAGCTGGTGGAAGAGAACAAAATGAAGAGGACAGTAAGACACAGCAAGTCAATGCCTTATGCAGCCATGGACATCAGTTACGTATTGTTACAGTTTTGACATTCAGGGATGATCGAGGTTTATATTTCCTGAAATAAAACAATCCTGAGCAGTAATCCACTTTTACCAGATGGGAACAGTGAACCATGATTAAAGTGAACCTGGAACAGAAAAATT